TTTGGCCAACGATCAACGCGTCTCTTGTCTTGGAGTCCTTTGATGCGAGTTGTCTAATAAATTATGTAACCCCAAATGACAAGGGTGCTCTCGACGCCCTCCCCTGCTTAAATAACTGCTCCTGGCGACTTAGGAACGTTGGTTGAGCGTCAAGGGCTTTGCATTGCTTTAGTCGGCTGTATACATATCATACTTTAGCATTCCAAGTGATGTGCTGAAATCTTTGCCAAGTAAATTAGTTTTATGGTAGAGATAAATTCGGTTTGTTAGTTATACTATTATAGTATTGACTATTACAGTATTAGAGCTTAATATTTATTTTTTTCTGTTCTTTATTTGCTTTCTTAGACATATCGTGTGATAGCATCTTTAAGTTACCTACTGTTCGGTGCCTACAAGAAGAACGAATCTACATGTTGCTATTCATAGTATTTTTATTCAACAACTCAAAACTAAGGTACGGCATCCAAAAAGCTTGCCCGAGAGTAATAATAACAAATATGCGACATAAGCTGCCTCAAACGTAGAACATGAAATGCACATCAAAACAAGCTTTCAAAGTTGACAATAAGTTAAGTCTACTTGCAGTATCCAAGGTAAATGGGTTTACTTGTATACGGTAATAAATTACGCATGTCAGCCTTTTAAAACTCATGTAAAATCAAACGCTAAATTATCAACGAATGTAGGAATTTTTCTTAGTATTCATTATCCAAAGGATACAATGGGAAGAGCATGTGCTGCGAACAAATAGGTAGCTACGATTATTGTAGATAATTTCTCAGCCAACAAATGTGTAGGTCCAACATTGAACAGTACGCGGTGAGGTCGGTGAACCTTCACTCGCGGTCTCCATGGGAATATCACACCACACACACGCACAGTACTGAAGGTAATCGTTTTATTATCCAACATTCGACTCGCCGCAGTAATGACCACTGACAATGACAGTGAGACGGAGACGCGGTGCTGCAATCTTCGATTCTCCTCTCCCTCGGCCTTTCTTCCTTCGATACTATATCCTGTCTCCTTAGGCCAGGGACACACTTACCGGCGAAACCGCCGGACGCCGGATCCGGCGGCGCCGGAGCAAGTTGAGATACACAGGAAGGCATGGGGCAGGCCACACTTCTCCGGTTCGGCGAATCTGCCGATCCGGCGGGAAAATGCTCCGGCGAAACCGCCGGATATTCTCTACCTCGCAGGACCGCCGGATCGGCAGTTTCGCCGGAGCAGTGGGTAGCGGGGCATTGTGCCTTATGGAGATGAACACACTTACCGGCGAAACAGCCGGACTGCCACTGCCCCCACTCCTCAGTCGTGGTTCAACCCTCGAGGGTGCTGGTTGTTTATGATTTTAATGCAGTGTCCAAGTGGTGTATTTAGTTTTTATTTTTAGTCTGTTTAGTTTTCTATATCATCATGGTAGATGTTGGTATGGATTTACTTATTAGTTTGGTTCATGAGAAACCAGAACTTTGTGATAGGTCTTTGGAAGTTTACAAAGACAAAAACAAAACGAGGGACAGCAGCAGCTGGCGACAAATTTGTGCCGCACTGAATCCAGCCTTTCCAGTGTCTCATGTATGTGTTTTGTCCTTGTATTTGCACTGTAATCTTCGATAGTAGCTCGTCGAATGAGGGGACAGACATTCGAAAATAATTAAAAAACTTATTTTCTTCATTTCTCAACTGTAAAAATAGAGTGTAAAAAGCTCCATGTAGCTGTCTGATCTCCAGAATAGGATGCACCCAAACAGTTCGGTGGTGTTTTCTCTTCCTTCTGTGGTGGATCAAACACAGCAAGGCCAACTTTTGAGGTCTTGACAGCTCCATTTCTAAGACTAAACTGTACTAGAACTGTACTAGTGTAAGACAAAACTGATTCAGAGTTCATTGCACTCTATTTATTGTCACCGGCTCCGGCAAAATAGTTTTTGCCGGAACAAGTGTGTTCTGACCCTCAACCTCCGGCGGATCCGGCGGCGCCGGAGCAAGTTGAGATACACAGGAAGGCATGGGGCAGGCCACACTTCTCCGGTTCGGCGAATCTGCCGATCCGGCGGGAAAATGCTCCGGCGAAAGGTTTGGGCGTTTGAGAGCGGAGAGCGGACTCAGGCCGTTTTATTGTCAGCGCCCAGCGCCCCTCTTGATACTGTATCAAGAGGGGCACTGGGAGCTGACAATAAACGTTATGTGGACCGTGGTGTCTACGCTAATTTACGTTAGTAGTCCTTGCCTTCAAACAGGGTACATGTACCAACTGAGAACTAGTTGTGTCAACAGATAACATTTTAATAGCTAGGTTAAATTTTTTTTTTTAACCGGTAGGCATTTAATTTTAAAATACGTCAGTGACCTATATCAGGGTGCATTGCATGCAGATTTTTAAGATAGCTAAGGCTGACCATAAGATAACAATATATATTGTAACTTTTTTCAGGGGGAAAAGAATTTTTTGTAAGACTAGCAGTTATAATAGCCTATAGATTAATTAAATTCACAAACTGAAAAAAATACAGATATTGATAAACATTTAAAATACCTGATTGGCCTAACTAACGTTTCTCGAAGGAAACCCAACGAAAATAAGCTCACAAAAATCATAAAAATGATGAATCTGAATGTCAAACTCGTTCAATAGTATGACGTCAAGTTTTGGACAGGACAATCTTCTAAGAATGCACTCTTGTTCACAGGAATGGCAAGTTAAAAAACGTTCTCAGTGTGTAATGGGAGCAGATAAGGATAAATACTGTAACACAAATTGTACGATTAGCACCAATTACGTCATTGACAATTAGTGTAGCAGCCAATTAACAACCCGCATCTTTAATTGTTACCAGGACCAATGTTATAGGCATTGCATTTCCATCCAAAACATTACACGTAATTGTAACTAGACATAGGCTAAATATATTTTTTTCGTTAAACAATAATTTTAATGTTTATTTAGAACAATTCCAAATATACTTTTTTGCTCAGTAACAAATAAAAGGTTTTTTTGAAATAGGCTCTAAGCTTCTGCGAACTTCTCCGCCAGATTTAAACCGCGAACGTGACAAATGACCGAATAATTTCGGTCGTTTTGTTTACACCAGGGAAGGGAGACTTTGCAGCTGGCCGCAGTCACAGCTGTCCCTAGAGCTATCCAAATCCAACATGAACTTCAAGTGTAAAAATTAGTGATGTGGTATGTACATAGGCTAGTTGTCATGAAGGTGACGTACTAGTGCAGGAATTAAAGGCACAACGCACAAATGCAATAATATGCAAATCCCCTTCAGTATATTAATATTCATGACTTGTGAAACGCGAAGACTTCTGTCCGGACCTCATAGAAAGGAGACTTGAATAATAACCAGGTCTTATAAAACGACCTCGCATTCGTAATACCGGTTGAGGTGGGCTTAAATTTGGACTGAGGGATTGATTGCTCCTATTGATATGTAAAATGCGTTCTGAGTTCTGAGCAGCTATTTCCGATCGGTGACTAATAAAACTTGCTCAAATCAAAAATTGTCTGTAGCCACTATTAGTAGTTTGTAATCATTGGTACGTACAGACTACTTTCAGTACCTACAAATAAGACTCGATAAGAGGCTAGTTTCTTTTTAGTGCGTATAACGAATAAATATTGGTGTGCACATTTCAATTTTGTAACAAATAGTTATTCGAGTAACTAATATTGCTGCAAATGAGAGAAATGTTTACGCACGAGCGGTAGGCGAGTGTGAAAAGTTTATTGAGTGCAGAAACAGGCACTTTGCACTCTCGCTCGTTTTTTCCTAAAGTTCTTATTACTATATAGCCTAGCATTGAAATAATTAGTCTTTCAAACAACGTTTTTGTTTAGGTTAATTATTTATTGTTAGACTGTGGTTATAAATCATAAGCGTTGAACGAAAAAACGGGAAACACTGCACCAGCTAATCGAAGTCTAGTATCTTCAAGTTTGCCAACTTAAAGCGTACACGTATTACGTCACGTGCATAAAGCAAAACTGTTTTGTATTGTTTGGTTGGAATACTGGAGTGCGACAAAAGTAATTAAATGCAGCTATTATTGTAACTACAGTACTTTGCGTGCAAGAATGCCCGATTTGTCCAGGGTAATTGTGAAGGAAAAATCAATTGTTGGTAACAACGCTAGCTGAGTGATCACTTTAATACGTAATAATATAAAATTTTGGTACACAGCAATAACTTGGTCTGGTAAAAAACATAAAAGTGTGAAGTAGTTTTAGGCCTTCCACAAACGTTGTACCACAATTAAGGACATTTTTTTCTCCTAGTAGACATTTGTATTTTAAAATTTGTAAGGATTTGTTGGTTTTTTAGCATATAGGCATGCACTTTGAAATCCAGTATTTGAGTATACTATTATACAGTTAGCCTATGTGTAAAAACACGTAGGCCTAAATTAATCGTGCCGTATATGCACCATTTTAGTTGTAATTTACATAGGGATCTATAGTTTAGTTTAGTTTAGAGAGTTTTAGACACAGAAAACATAGGTCCTACTTAGTATGTTTTCTGTGGTTTAGACCACTTTAATAAATGACAACAACTAGTTTAATTTATAATTGACTTATTCACGGCAAAATCGTCATTTTTGCAATCAATTACATACATGCACAACAATTTGTGGATTATTAATACTATATATACATGCAGTAAATTTTACATTGTGCTATAGAGCCGTAGCATGTAAAATGCTTTATGTAAAATTACTTTTAAGTTAGTAGACGCGTCCTTACATTTTAACTCTATCAGTCTTTAATGGCAACATTGGTATTTTCCCATGTAAGCATTAAATTACATAAGTGAGGATTTGGTGAATAGTTGGAAGGCCTAAGCTTAACTAAAGGATGAAAATCTAAAATGTAGGTCACAATAGGCAGATAAATCGATCGACCACCCTTTGAAGGTCACTGGCCTTGATTGGGGAGAAGAAGAAAAATAGAACATGAAAACAATTTGTTTAGGCCTAAGGCCTACCTGTTTGCCAGTTTGTCGGGGAAGAGTCTCGGTTCCATTGACCACGGGTGCCTTATCAGGTTCCTTCTCATCTGTAGTCATCGTCATGTCAGCAGCCGGCATAATATAAACAATCAGACACTAACTTCAAGAAACTGAATTAAAACTAAATCCTTCCAAGCAAATACAACTGGAGGAACCAGTCATATCAAAAAACTAAACTGAATATTCTGTCAGACGTTAACACACAACACTGGAGTGCATCTAAATCCAAACAACTTTCAAATCCATTCGGGAAACTCGCTTGACGTAGCACGAGTAAAACAATGCGCATCTGAAGACAACAGTACAAACTGCAAGCAGAAGCAACGCCACCTGAACAAGTCCACGAACAGTTGAAGTCGGACAGACAACAGACCGGAGCCGCACAAACCCAAGCTGTCAAATACTCAAACGCAAACGACAACAAACTGGCGTTGGAGTTGGTTGGTTGGTGTGGTGTTTCAGCTTCGGCTCGCTTGAGTTCGGGCCTGTCGCGCGGCGGTGGGCCGGGGGTCCCCTCCTGCAAAGTTCTGGAGAAACGATTGTTGTATTATTATTGTATCGGGAAAACTAAATTAGTACAAGTAAATTTCGATAACCTCACTGCATTATCAACGTTTTTAAATACCATTACAGAGACGATCAATTGATACTAAAGAGCAAAATTGTTATTATAGGTTTGTGTTAAAAATCGTTCTCTTGTATTATTGAACGCACCCGCACCGCTACCACCGCCTTCCATCTAGCGTCGATGAGATGAACTAACAGAGGGCTTCACAGCAGCAAAAATGCCAGAACATTGTCTTGAGTTTGCGGGTCGCGGTCACGGGAGAAGGAGCGCATTGCAGACGCAGTGCCCTGTATGTTGAAGTTGGATATTCCAATAATCTACGATTAATAATTAGAAAACAAAAAAATGTATCCATCAAAAACCTGAATGATGCTGTTTGTTCAAATTAATCTTCAACACCATCCAAACCATCTCATCTGTTATCAAATCCATCCCAAAGTACCCATGAACTTTTGAAAAAACTAAAAGTCATACCCCCATATAAACCATATACTTAAAATGTTTGTCTTGACGAGAAACCTTGCGCACCACTACCCATTATTTCATAAATTGCCCTTTATCAATTCCAAAGGTCCCCATTCAATTGGTCGTAATTCCTTTCTAAAGGGACTTTCCATACTATCTAAAATGTTAAAAAATACCCCAGCTGAGCTAAACAGCTTTAGCACTAAAAAAAAAAAAACAAAGAAAATAAATTTCAGAGATGCTGTATAAATCGAGTCGGAAGGTCTAAAACATTTTCTCTTTTTAGTCTGTAGACATGTTGACTGTTAGTTGTCTATAGGAGGTTGAGGGCCAAATGGTTCGTATGATACTCAAGCTTTGAGATGTATTTTTTACTGCAGCTCGTAACTTCTTCAGTAACAAATGGAATTTTGCAATGTTTGTTTATTTCAGCTTAACTTAACTAGTCAATATTTTTTTTTATACTTATGAAGTCAAACGCCCGAGGGGTAACAGCTAGAGTATATCCATCCATATACAGGGCGACTAAAAAGTCAAGCCCCCCCTCTAATATTTTTCCAAGTAAAGATACAGAGATATCCTTTTGGTGGTCGGGCAATCTTAGTAGGAATTAAGTTTCATTTTATGATTTTGAAATTTTTAGTGTCTCCCAAAAAGGGGGGATTCAGGGGGCAACACAAATACCTATTTTAAATGTAAACCCCATTCAAGTGATACCTCATTTTGAAGTTTTAACAAAAACAAAGAATGGTGAAACTAGAGGTCGCTATCTCTTCTCTATCCAAAATGGTAGCCCATCAAATGTTGTGTAAAATCAATGGTAAAATTGGTCCGTAATGGTAATATTGGCTACCAGCTACCATTTTGGATAGAGAAGAGATAGCGAACTCTGGTTTTCACCATTCTTTAAGTTTTTGTAAACACTTCAAAACGAAGTGTCACTAAATGGGGGTTTACATTTAAAATTTTCGAGTCTCCCCCCAAAAGGGGGGATTTGGGGGACAACACAAATTTTTCAATGTAAGCCCCCATCAAGTGCCACCTTATTTTGAAGTGTTCAAGTGTTTACAAAAACTTAAAGAATGGTGAAAACCAGAGTTCGCTATCTCTTCTCTATCCAAAATGGTAGCCAATATTACAATTACGAACCAATTTTACCATTGATTTTACACAACATTTGACGGGCTACCATTTTGGATAGAGAAGAGATAGCGACCTCTAGTTTTTACAATTCTTTAAGTTTTTGTAAACACTTCAAAATGAGGTGTCACTTGAAGGGGGTTTACATTTAAAATATTTGAGTTGCCCCCAAAATCCCCCCTTTTGGGGGGAGACTCAAAAATTTCAAAATCATAAAATGAAACTTCCTGCTAAGATTGCACGACCACCAAAAGGATATCTCTGTATATTTACTTGGTAAAATATTAGATGGGGGGGGGGTCTTGACTTTTTATTCACCCTGTATATAAATCCCAAAGTACCCATCAACTTTTGAGAAAACTACAAGTCACACCCCCATAAACCATATACTTAAAATGTTCGTCATGACGAGAAACCTTGCTCAAACTATCCATTATTTCATAAATTGCCCTATAAGGTCGTAATTGCTTTCCTAAGGAAACTTTCCATAAACCTAGTGTTAAAAATACCTCAGCTGCACTAATTTGTTTATTATTCCTTCAATTATTTATTATACCTTATTAAAGTCAGGTGAAATTATTTTTTTGTATTACTGTATTTGTTTATTTCAGCCTAACTTAACCAATCAATATTTTTATTAATATACTTATGAAGTCAAATGGGGTGAAGCCCTTGGGTAACAGCTAGTATAATAATTAAGTACCTGGGGACCGAGCTTTTCTCTGGGAAAACCATTAGTTTACTCTGAAAGCAGTCTTAGTATTGCAGATACATTAATTCAATCCCAAACTCCACACTACTCGCCTTTATTACTTCCTTCACCACTCCCTACGTCGTGGACCTGTTTCCCTCCCTTCCCATAGCATTTTGGGATTGCAGATAGATTAATGTAATTGCCAGACAGTTCCCACACTTCACACTGCTCGCATTTACTACTTCCTTCACCTCTTCCAACTTCCAACGTCCTGTTCCTGTTCCCTCCCTTGCCATAGCATTTTAAGATTACAGATACCTTTAATCTAGTCGTAATAAATAGTTCCCACACTCCGGAGTGCTTGCCTTTTTCTTCTTCCTTCACCACTTCCTACGTCGAGGACCTGTTTCCTTCCATTTTAATAGCATTCAAGTATTACAGATACATTAATCCAACTGCCACAAAAGGTTCCCCCACTCTGCGATGCCAGCCTTTACTAATTCCTTCACCACTTCCTACGTCTTGGACCTGTTCCCCTCCCTTCCCATAGCATTTTAGGATTGCAGATACCTTAATCTAATCGTCATTAACAGTTCCCACACTCCGGACTGCTTGCCTTTACTGCTTCCTTCACCACTTCCTACGTCACGGACCTGTTTCCCTCCCTTCCTATAGCATTTTAGGATTGCAGATACCTTAATCTAATCGTCAGAAATAGTTCCTACACTCCGGAGTGCTCGCCTTTACTACTTCCTTCACTACTTCCTACGTCGCGGACCTGTTTCCCTCCCTTCCCATTGCATTTTAGGATTGCACATACCTTAATCTAAATCGTCATAAACAGTTCCCACAGTCCTGACTACTCGCCTTTACTACTTCCTTCACCACTTTCTTCGTCACGGGCCTGTTTACCTCCCTTCCCATAGCATTTTAGGATTGAGATACCTTAATCTAATTGTCATAAACAGATCCCACACTCCACACTGCTAGCCTTTACAACAATGTATCGAGTAATCTTCAGTATAATCTTTGCTCAAGTGTTGATGTTTTTCCTTTTGTACTGTATTTTGTAAATTTGCTAGTATACTGTGGGTAGGTGGCAAGCCCACAGAGTATGAACATAAAAGTATGAACACATCTAACAACTTACCAGTATTTTGTTTACTTTTTCCTTGTTATTTAATTCAACCAACATCGTTACCATATCGTTACTTAGCAACCCATAAGATTAATGTTAAAAAAATTTCACTTTCAGTTTAATTTTTCTACGTAATTAGATTTTTGTTGGCAGTTCTAACTGCAGTAAACTTGTTTATAAGATAGAAATTCACTACTTACAACATTTGAGGAAAATCGTCGAAGCCGTTTTTGAGATCTTTGAGCAAACATATACATACATACAAGCAAACATTGCTCATATTAGAGTATAGGATAGGATATTTAAGACAGACTGTTGGAAACATGACCAGATATATTTAGCTTTACCTTTACCGGTTCTTCATCGTTGCCCAGCCATAGCTGGTTAGATTGTGTTATAAAAACTTGTTTATTATTAATCTCAACACTTTCCCTAATGTTTATAACAGTTTCAATAAAGCGTATTTCAATTTTCCTTTTCTTGAGATTGTATTGCTTCATAGTAGTTTTGCGATCCATCTATATCACTCATTGCAAACATTACATTGTCTCTTGGGAGCTTTGATCTCTTCACGCTTTCGCAACTCAAATATCGGACTTTCTTCTATTTATGATTCTTCTTTCAGAATCCAGTCCAACGATATTTTCCTCAGTTCCTACTTCTGATAGGGACATAGGGACCTCCATGCTGGAATAAACGGTTTGATGAGTTCATGAAAGGCTTAGGATTTCAAAAGAGCCGTGAAGATCCCTGCATGTACATATTTTGTCCTACCCCTGCCAGAAAAATCATTATTCACACAGGTCCCAATGACTAGTCAGACTGAAATGGACTTATTTATCGGGCAACTTCATTCCCAATTTGAAATCGTTGCTAAAGAAGTATCATACATTCTCAGACTCTAAATCTCTCAAAGTGGTGGTGATATCTCTTGGTCTGTCAATCAGCGTATATCTAGAAAATCATTTCCCGATTTAACATGGAAGGATGCAAGCCAGTACTTACATAGAGAAGCTCACTGCTCAAACAGTAGGGAAAGCCTCCGATTGTTCATACCAAACGGCAGTTGGAGCTCTACTTTTGTTGCCCACTGTACTCGTTTTGACATTGCATTTAGTGTAACTGTTCTGTCACGTCACTTAGAAACTCAAGATGATGCCACATGAGCAAAGCGTGTTATACGCTATTTGGCCGGCACTGTGGACCAGAAGCTAGTGTACCAATCTAAACCTAAAACACGTCTATTGGAGTGCTTTTTATAGTAACGCGGACTTTGCTGGTTGTCCTACTCCTACTACAATGCATTCAACAAGTAGAGTTACAGTATTATTAAATATGCGGGTGGAAGCCTTTGCCTCGACCAAGACCAAGACCTCCAAGAGAAAATCTTAGACTCTCAGCATGACTATGCAAATAAGGGAATGTATTGAAAATGCCTGCCTTTTGTTATTTGTAATTTTTTCCCTAGGACGCTATAGGCACGAGCTCGGAATCATTTTTCACATTACTTCAGGGGTATTATCACTTGGATAAAATCAATTGTTGGTTTTTGGCGGGATTTGAACCCGGGACCTCAGGAACCAAAGTCCTGCGCTCTAATTACTAGACCAGCTCGCTCTAGTTATTTGTAATAAGGTAACAGTCATACTACAGATGATATGAAAGTTTATTTATTATCAGGTGTCTGTTTTGTAAACCCAATTTATTTTCACGTTTTGTAAATAGTAATGAGAATAGTTTAGTTATTTGTGTAACTAGTGTGTGAAGTGGCACTTTGCTGCATACAAGAGAAATGTTCACGCACGAGCCGCAGGTGAGTGTGGAAAGTTTCTCGAGTGCAGCAAGGGCAATTTGCACTTGTGTTACACATTATATTTGTCCTACAGTTATTATAAAACCTAGAAATAATTAGTCTTTCAAACACTAAACAAAATGTATTAGGTTAGGTTAAATCCAAGCATTGAACGAAATGGGAAACACTGCAACAGCTGATTGTAGTCGTATAGTATATCTTTAAGTGGTGCCAACTTATTTTCAAGCGTACATGTATTACGTGCCTAATAAAAGCACACTATGTTGTGTTGTTTGGTTGGAATACTGGAGTGCGGCAAAAGTAAGTAAGTTCAGCATTTAGCAACCGGTACTATAATCAGTGCAAGGACGCCCACTTTTTCAAGTGTCTGTATGTATTCTGTTCTATTGTTTAAATTTGTTTTTACATTGTAACTATAACTAGATTTTCCCTACGCACCTCCACTCTACGAATAATTCAAGACTTACTTATCTATAGCGTGGAACCTCCATTCGATTCCTGAGTTCTTTTGTTTTTCAGTTTTAGTGATATAGTGATCAGAGAGTGAATGGTATATGTCTTTTATAAGTAGGTGGATAAATATAAGAAAACATCCTGGGGAAATAAGAGATTTCTTTAATAAACAGAGCAATAACTGAAAAGGATAGGAATCTTCACTATTAAATTTATTGAATTTATTAATTTTATTAAATTTATTCGAGAGAAATGTATAAGATGTCGCTAATGTTGTCATAAAACTTTACAAACATGAATGGTTTTCTTGATCAGTTGAAGTTTGCTGGTATGTTCTCTGGAGTCCAGCCACTGTCTGTTAAGAGTTGCTTGTCAGAGGCAACACTTCAGAGTTAGGGTTGATGGGGATGTTAGAGGGTGACCTTTGTTGAGCAGATGCAAAGATAAACTTGAACAGTGTCTCCGTCAATTCCCAGATCCAACTTCGAGCTCTGCCCCCTGTAACATTGTTTATCTATAACCACTGCATAGTTTTCAAGCATACAAGAGCATTAACTGTTATAAAAAAATAGATACAATTTATATGTAGATAAGCCTGTCTTAGTGGTAGAATTTGTAGACTATGTGTCGTGTCTACTAATAAATTGGTTATGCTTCAGATCATAAATAAATCAATATTTCTTTCTATGAAAGAATTAGTGAAAATAAATGTTGTTAAGGTTACAATTTATTTTAAGTCTTATAAATGTGTTCAACAACAGAGAATGTGAAATGAAGTTAAAAGTTCATGCTGATAGTAATGTATCCTATCTGATAAGCAAACCTATGAGGTCAGTGATAGCATAGACAAAAAGAAATAAATATAGACCGTCAGCTGTGCTACGGTTACCATAGGTTCTGGCGCACACCGCTGGGATCGCCACGGTAGTTACAGCGTACGCGCTACGTAAACTACAGTGGTGTGGGCCCGAACTTAAGGTAACCATGGTAACCGCAGCACGGCTGACAGTCTATATTTAATTCTTTTTGTCTATGGTGATAGGGAGAAGTGTAGGATTTGTAAGAGCTAGTATACTGGATTAAACAATAAGCAGAACAACCAAATGTTTGATTGGTACAGACCATCGTTTGAGAAGCCTATAGAGTCAAGGAACCTGCGCCACCAGTTGCGTGGGGTGGTGGGGTTGGTGGGGGGTGGAAAGGGGAGAGTCTCCGCATCAGGCTCTGCGGGGAACTCTGCTTGTCTTCTTCTACGACTGGGCAACTCCTCCTGTCATCATGCCATCAAGGTTGTTAGGCTACCTATTTAACTAATTCAAAGTTTACCTAACAGAGTTATTACTATCTATTCGTAATAACAAAAATATAATACATTTACAAGATACGTTGGCTACTAATAAAAGAAGCAGTACAGTCTGTACTAAATTTAATATTCAAAAGTAATTCTTTGAACTGCCTATCAATTCTGTGATGTGAAGACACCGTTAACTTTTAGTGAGTAGATAGATAGTCTACTGAGGCTGCTCTAGTACATTGACAATCGTCAGCCTCATTCAGGGAGGATAACATGTGAAGATTGTCTCCAGTAGCCTAGATAAAATTGATCATTTAAATGTATTACTCTTTTCACTTGCAAAATCGAATGTTTTTTTTTAATTTTAATTTTTATAAGCAGTAAGCTATCTAGCTAAATTATCATGAAATTTGCTACCAAACCAATAAAACATTTTAGCCAATAAAAGATTTTGATTGAATTATTCATGTCAATAAGTATAATGTACTAGGGTGTTGCTCGAAATCGAGCAATTGTCAGGAGTTTCAAAACTAATAACAGTCATAATTTTTTACTAGTTTAGACTCAACTAAATGCTTATATATCTAATTGATATAGGTACTCACGCTGTTAATAACAGTTTAATATAAAACACTTCTTGTAAATAATTTATCATTTTTCACAATCTATCTAGCCTTTTTTAGTGTTTTCTTTCCTCCGACTTACCCATAGCTGTCACTAGTTAACATTTCTTGCATGCATTCATTTGATCTGACATTAGACAAGTTTACTTTACCAATGTGACAACACGATGTGTAGGCCTATATTCTTCATTAATTTTTCTCACTTCCAAAGTAAGTTGCACAGCAGAACTGGCAAATATTATTCATCTCTCCAAGTGAGTGTGTTACCGATGAATACAAACCTTTTAAGAAGCGAAATGCTTATAGAGAATACTCAGACTGGAATTTTGCCGCCAAAATGAGCTTCGTATGGCCGCCGATACGATCGCTCGCGCGGCAGCCACTGTTACTCTATCTTTCTCTCTCTAAGCTAATTCTTTGTAATTTTGTCAGAGTCAGTTTGCGCGCTCCTGATAGTCTACCTAGCGGCCGTCGTGGGAACTGTCCAAAATTCAAATATTTCCAGACTGAATTTTTAACAAAGCCATTGCGCTTCTTAAATAAGGGTTTGTATTCATTGATGTGTATTTGGATTCCTTACTGTTAGACCAGACCTCTCTTCTTCTACTCTTCTTATTCGCATAAGGCATCTTATTAATTGTCTCCACCTCCTGTTAGCGAATTTTTCATATATTAGCGAATTTCCCATATAGGGAATAAGCTATTACCGTAGGTCTCATGGTAAGACCCGGGACCAATTTTCTTTTTTGTTTTGAGGTCCCCAGAGGCCAAAACACCTTCCGTTCAAAATCATATATATATATATATGTGTGTGTGTCTGTTAGCGGGATAACTCGAGCAAAAATGATCCGAATTTGATGAAATTTGGTACAAACGTGTAAACCAACCTTTATTTGAACGAGTTCGCGAACCAGCATAATCGGACTGTGGGAACGGGGGTTTATGGGAGGTTTTATGGGGTAACACAATAAAAGCTTACCACATCACCTGCAGACCAACTTTCATCCAGACTTCTAGTTTCATTCACACTACCTGGAATGAAGAAAAATTAATTATACAGGTTAGTGCAGAGAAAACAAATGTTTTTCAAAATTGAATTACTGGGCCACATTGGGTTGAAAATAATAAAAACAAGTATTAAATGATAGGGATTTTAATGCGGTTTTTGAAATTACATACCATATTTAAGTTTGGAAAATAATGTCTTTGAAATTATGTCCTTTTTGCTGGATACCATTAGTATTTACAATTTTTCTAAGAGGCCTCGAAAAGATCATGCACGCAATGAAAATAATAGAGCACCAAATTATTATGATAAGGAAATTAAGGATGCCTGAAATAAGGACTTTTCTAAAGAAGTTTTTAAAAATTAAAGTTTGTTTCACTTTTTTATGTATGATTTCATACTGTATTGGAAAAATTAATTACAAAGTTATGTTCAGGGTTTGCTTGGTAAAATTACAAGTCAGTGAAGTCAGTTTGAAGTCACAAAGTTACTCTGGCTGCTAGTCTGATAATTATATGACAATGTCCAAGAGTATCTATTGAAACGAGTTTGATAATATCAAAAATATTTCAGATGGGGAAACATTTCAAAGCAGTATGGTTGTATTACCATGAGAGAGATGTATCTCGTTATCAGCTGTGATGCCCCATGTGAATTGTTGGTCGCACACAGTGATGTGCCAGGCTGGGTAGGAGGCCAACTCATTCTGTTGGCCATGAGTGGTGACAGCCAGTGTGCCATTCACCAGAGTCCACACAACACTGGCTGGCAGACGGAACAGGGACTTGGGCTGGACCACAAACCCACCATCGAACTTGCCTAACACAGAACAAGGTCATATTGGTGTTGTCAAAAATGTTCTAGAGTAGGAATGCTGACCATCGTCTTGCAAAGAAAACACAATTTACCTCTTAATATGCACATTTTTGTGGAAATAACAAAGTGGGAACACCATTCCCAAACATTCCAGCACCACTACCCCATTGCTTAGGGTATTAAAAGCCCTGGTATTTTTGGCACATTACTATGGACTTAACTTGGCAATAACAAAGTCATAGGTTAATGGAAGCTTTTAATCTCATGTGACCATCTAACTTCTAAACACTTACTACTACTGTCTGCAGCACCTGCAATAAAAAAATCAGGGGATTTTCAAGGACTCTCTGGGTTCTTACAAAGCATTTTTCACAGGGACTCAATAATGTGCAAACAATAAGTAAGTTATGTAACTACTCCTCAGGGGTAGTTGTCTGTCAACTACGCGGGAGGCCTCTTGTGGGTATGGCCATTGACTATATATACCTATAGTCAATGGTATGGTGATCTGGAGGTACCCTAGCCAACCCCCAGATCCCTCTTCTCTTCTTTGTTCTGGGTTCTATGGCCAGCATACTTCTTCTTTTGTTTGCTCTTCATTCTTCTTTGCTTTCCTATTGAAGAATTCTTCTTCTATCCCTCCCTTCCCTTCTTTCAGCCGAAAGTGGTGTTAAGGGATCCGTGCCAAAGAGGTGAATGCCACCGGGGTCCCGAGCTGTGATTTGTACAGGAGCCTCTAGGATACCAGGCCACTTCCTAGAGTAACAGCCTTACCCGGGCATGCGGGGCTCTGCCTGAGCTCGACCTTTATCCTCACAGCAGATTAACTCGAGACTGGATAAAACTTGGACTGGTGGGAATGTTATGGTTTCTAGAAAACCTAAACCCTGCCAGAATCAAACATCGATGCGACTCCAGAAGCTACATCACCAACACTTAATGGGTTAGCTCATCTAGAGCAAGACCCATATCTCGATGAAGCCCCAAAGACCAGAGGAACACCAGGCCCAACTGTGGGTCCGGATGTTGAGACGAGTGTGGCCAAGGCCCTAGAGGTTCAACCGTCACTCCAATCTTGGTAGAAGGACCTTCAAAGAATGTGGTACAAAGGTGATCATGCTTACCTCCGTTACGATGCTGTGAGACCCATATAGTGCCAGAGGCCTTATCTGGGTCCAGCCATTACCACACTACATGGGTGAACAGTTCAGGTGCAAAGGTGGTGATGCTTACCTCTGTGACGATGCTGTGAGACCCATATAGTTCCAGAGACCTTATCCATGTCTCGCCATTGCCACACTAGATGGGTGAACAGTTCAGGTACATAGGTGCTGGAATGGTGAATTGTCAACTTTGATTCTTCAACTCCCTCAACATTGAGTTTCCACTGGCCCTGAGTAACATGTTAAGGATCAGTTTTATTTTTTATTGTCAATGATATTTTTTTGCAGACCTACCTATAGATCTGACAATTTCTGTTATTCAACGCTAAAATAGTCCTTATAAATGTTGTTGTGCATTCCCTCCCCATATGTGTTTTGTATTATACCTCTCAGGAAAGGTAGCTTAGTGCTGACAAAATATAGCTTATAAAATTGTTTTCATAACTTTCTTGGTACTGTGCTTTATACCATAGTTATTATGCTGTTATGCACAACGATTGCGTAAAGAACGACAGGAGTAGAAAATTTAAGGTACGAGCTTTGGCTGGTACAACTCGCTCATATTTATGCTGTCTCTTTTAGCTATACATGCTATATCAAAAGTAAAAGCTTCAAAAACTGTTAAAATATTTAGATTTTTAATGTGAGATTTAACTCGTTTATCTTTTTAAGGTGTAACATAGTTCTAATGGCTTTTTCTTGCATGATTAGAATTTTATTTAAATTTTTATTTGTAGTTGCCCCATACAGTCCAATGCCATGAATAATGGTTTTTGAGTTTTCTGTGACTTGAGTAAGACAATTGACATGGTGGGTGCTGTATTTTAAAACATGAGAGGCATGAAAGTAGGTATCATGTTCCACAGAGTAGTAAATAACAGAGGATACATTCCATGGTACACATAAGTAGTGTCTAGCACTAGTGCTGGTGTATAGGGCAAAGTCCCGCACCACCCTCCTCGTCATCATATACTACCATGCTCATGGTGGAGGAAGACCCTGTGAATGGGAATTTAAGCACAGTGCTCGCCGTTCGGGCTCTTCCTTGCCTGTTTCAATTATATTTCCGCCCAAACAATCCATAGCTGAAACCGCACAGTTGTACCATAAGCTTGTTTCCTCTGTGCCATCTTCTCTGTGAATGATCTAAGCCTTGTCAGGTAGTTATTACTTTAGGATAGTGTTAGTAATTGATTTACATACACTATCTTAACACATCAAACCAACTATAAGAAGATGAGTGAAATGGACAATGAAAAATATTGTACGTAACCCCCTGTATAGTGTCGGGTCAGGTAAAATCTTGTACGTTACACGTTACGCAAGAGCGTGTTTACATCACTTAGGTAAATTATGCAACTCGCTTCCGCTCGTTGCACAACATTCACCTGCGTGATGTAAAAACACTATTACTACACTTGTAAGGTAAATAGTTATTATTCAACTTTTTTGGATCAGCTGTCTGAAATTGTGAAATAACATTTGGCAGGTCTGATTGTTTACATTGAAATGTCAACGCAAAGGTAAGCATTGTGAATTTTCTCATGCTTCCATGGAGACCAATTATTTTATTTTATTTACTTTTGAAAACCCCACCTCAAATCTTTGGACATTTAAGGGGCGTAGCCCGGGAGGAACTCAGGGAAGTTATTAGACCTATGACATTCCTAGATATGTGGACCGTCTTTGGGCTTAATTTTGGGTGTATCGGTTTAGTATTTTAGTAGTGACAGCCGCTCAGACATACATACAGACAGACACCACCTCAATATTTTTTTTAAATATTTATTATCATCATGTTACATCAATGATTGACAGGTGATTTGTCATTAAAATAAAATCTATAGCAACAAAACAACAATCATAATATTGAATACTTAAAAATAATTATACATTTGTTAGGAAATCTTCCAGTGAAAAAATGCCTTCTCCAGAAGCCATATTAAGTATTTATTTAAATTTCAATATGCAATCAATTTCTTTTACTGTTGAAGGCAGCTTATTATAAATTTTGGGTCCCATATATTGTGGGGATAAATGAAATAATTTTAGTCTATGTTGCAATGATTTTATTAAGTTTTTGTATCTTGTATCATGGTTGTGAGAGGGCTGACTCTCACATAAGAGAAATATCATAAATATAAAACCTGAATAAAGTGAGAATTTTGAATTGACTGAAATATTCATGGCAATGTGTATCTGGAGGATTTTGAATCTTTTTGATACATTTTAATGCGAGTTTGCCAATTTAAATGTGAGTCTATTTTTATTCCTAAATAATCAACTGAATCTTGAGAAACTATGAAATTTGAGTTTGAATTTAGGGTGATCTCGTCTTTTATTTTGGAGGCAGAGAATTGTATCATTGTATATATTATATGGTGATCGTTGTATATGGTATATTTGTTGTGTTGTGTGTTTTGGATTCTTTCATGGAGAGGCCGTTGACAATAAACCAGTCCTCAAGAGAATGGAGCTCTCTGGTGATTGTGTGAATAATGTCGACACCTTTTTGCTCTTTGAAAATTATTGCTGTCATCTGCGTACTAAAATATTGGAATTTTTTATACACTACCTAGGTTGTTTACAAATAAAATGAATAGACATGGTCCAAGAATTGATCCTTGAGGCACTCCAAATGGAACATCCTCCCAATCTGGCATGTAATTGTTTTGAAATTTGTTTATTAGTATCCTTTGTTTATGGTTTTTCAGATAGTATAGATTAATTTTTTTTTTTTATTCAACTGCAAATTAAATACTAGTTAATCAGGTTTAACTTATCAATAAATTTTAATTTTAAAATCTATCCATCTTACTATACAAAGATCCCCAGTCGCATTGCCAACACCAATGAAGATGACAGCGAGCACACAGGAGCAGAGACAGGAAGCCAGGGCAGCCATGGTCGTAATGACACGATACACTCGATGACATTGAGATCATCAGCGTGACCAACATGATTTGATGAGGTCCATCAGATAGCCATTCAACTCCACCATTATACCTAGTTCCCGGTAAACCAGAACAGTCCACCCATGTAATGTGTATGGGAAAATATTGCTCAGTTATTTTTGTTCAGTAAAAACCCTGAAAGTAAAATCACCAAGAGGAATAGATGTTGTTAAACGAGACCATACCTGATAGTACTGAATAACTTCTTAAGACTTTCAATGGATTGTTTGATTTAAATTAAAATAACCTATAAGTAAAATGCAGGTGAATAAGTTAAGGCAACTTGTAAGAGGGAGACTGAGAAAGCACAAGAAAAGCTTTGCATGAGTTCAAAAATTTCTATTAAATAATCTTAATTTTAAATCTTGTTTTTTAATACCTTATGGGAAGGCCTCTAGGCTTAGTATTTAAGCCAATTCTCCAAGAATCAGATCAGGCTCGATATGAAATAGGCATGCTTTAACTGAACTAGGAATGTCACAATATACAACTTTCAACACAAAACACTATTACAGTAGGGTCCCAATTCCAAACTGTGACCGATTCATGTTCGGATTTAGCAGAAATTCAGAATAAGCCTATTTCTGTAAAAATTTGGTATTTGGACCACACAACATCTTGACAGTTCCCTTTACCTGACTGTGAAATATGTGAACGAATATATTCAAAGTTAATGTTTTCAAAGTTTTGACATCACAGTATCAAGACATTTTTGAAAGGGCAAAAATTCCAGAGTTGATTTTAGCGAATTTCCCTATAAGGAAGTAGCTATTACCGTAGGTGGCACGGTAAGACCTAGACCCTGGACCTACTTAGTTTTTAATTTTGATGTCCCCAGAGGTCAAAAACAATATTCGTTCAAATTTTAGCGAATTTCCCATATAGGGAATAAGCTATTACCGTAGTACTCATGGTAAGACCTGGACCCGGGACCGATTTTTTTTTCGTTTTGAGGTCCCTAGAGGCCAAAAACACCATCCGTTCAAATTCATATAAATATATATATTTATATATATATATATATATATATTTATATATATATATATTTATATATATATATATATTTATATATATATATATTTATATATATATATATATTTATATATATATATATGTATGTGTCCGTTAGCGCGATAACTCGAGCAAAAATGATCCGATTTTGATGAAATTTGGTACAAACGTGTAAACCTACGTTTATTCGAACGAGTTCGCGAACCAGCATGATCGGACCATGGGAACGGGGGTTTATGGGGTAAAAATGGGGTTTTCCAATTTTTGCCCCAAAAAACATAAAATTTTGCAATTTCTTTCCAAACTATTTTGTAGAGCTTAAAAAAACAAATAATTTAGTATATTGAAGCGTTATAATGCGCCTAATGGTTACGGAGAAAATTCCAAAAAATTGTTAATTTAAAATTCCCATGTTATTCTTATGGAGAATAAGTAAACTGTTGTGGTTTGCTTGTTTATTAACATATTTTTTCCAAATTTGGAAAATGTTTTTATTTCTTAGTAACTATTAACATTTTACATAAAAAAACACTTTTACCCTCCCTGTTGCAGCAAACCTAAGTACCTATGTGTTAAACTGATTCTATTTAAATAGGGAATGAATGTGATATTTTTAAGGAGACATTTTAGTGTAAATCCAATCAGGCAAATGGAAATTCGCTTAGTCTGCAGGTTTGCTGCGGCGGGGGTATTTATATATGTAAATATTACGTCCGTGAACGTATGTAAAGATTACGTCCGTGAATGCGATAGCTTAAGTAATTAATGTGCGATTTTGATGAAATTTGGTTTAAAGGTGTAAGGCGGTATAAAGTTTGCGAACCAGTATTATTGGACCATGGGAACGGGGTTTTACGGTTTTATCATGGGGTAAAAAATGGTTTTTCTCATTTTTGACCCTCAAATCAAAACACAAAATTTCCCAATTTCTCTCTAGAACTTTTTAAAGAGCTTAAAAACACATATAATTTAGTATATCAAAGTGTTTTTGTACCTTCCAGGTTTACTACTAGAGTACTCAACTGCTTATGTCCTTTAAATTTAGGTAGCTCAGAAATAGCAATGGCCCTATAATAGACTCTCTGTATTTTATTGTTTTAATTTCGGAGGCTGTTTATGTAATTTTGAGTTGTAAAATAGGGTTGAATAAGGCTAGAAGCTAGTCAGGTTCCCCCAATTTTATAACTTAAATTCATGATATTTCAGCTAGTTTTTTAATCTTCAAAAGTTATTGCAACTTTTGTGATTCATCCCTTACTCCCACTCCCACCGCTTACCAATGATAAAAGGTTGGTTTCAAGCTTATGGGAGAAAGTATGTGTCAGTTTGTTGATACAGTTTATTAAATTTATAAAGGTATTCTGCACATCTATAGGAAAATATATTTCTAACAGTATGCGTATATTTTCCCTGCGATGCTCACGAGCGGAGAAAAAGTTTTTAAAATAACATGCTTGCCTATTAATATATAGATTATTCTGTATTAGGTGAGTTTTCAAATGTGTCCTTTTTCTTATATTTCTTCAAATATTGAATCCAGACTGCCCCACTACTGCTTGCCTCAAATTCATTAATATAAGTTAGTTTTCACTTTCAGCTTCAGCTGCCTTCTTTGATAGGTTTTTGGCAGAAGTGATCCAAGGTCAGTCAAGTTTCAAGTCATCGCATGAGTGTTGCCCACGTCATGACCATGTCTAATTGTGTAGATGTGTAAAAAGTGAAGAATGCATTGTGTTCAAAATATTCTACTCTCCACCATAAAAACATTCAGTTTAAATACACATTCAGTGGGGTCACATATCCATTTTAATTTGCCAGGAAGCTGACTGAACTTAGACATACAGATATTCCTTTCTATTACCACCCCTCCACAGTTTCTTTTCACCACCAATCAATATTCAACATATTTCACCATTCAATAGGAAATTGCACCTAATTCTTTGTGAAATAAATCAAATTTTGGGTTTAGGTGTCAGACCCTTGTTATTGGCCAAGTTTAGAACTCATTTTAGAGATTGTTATTGAATTTTAGAGAACGGTCTAGATATTTTACTTTATGGTTCAGTTAAGGGTAGTTTGAATATGGAGTTGTAATAAGGAGTTGTGTTTATATTCAATCTACAGTAGAGTCTCGCAAACTCGGCACTCGATAACCCGGCAGTCTGGATAACTCGGCCATTACCTGGCTCAGAAAATTACTGATTTTTGAGTACGAGTTAAACATGGGCTCAAGTTAAATAATTCCCAACTTGTACCAAGGATTTATTGTACTATATCTGATGACCTAATACTGACTTCTAATATAAATATAAATAAATAAGGCAGCTAAAAGGATTACAAATTGTATTGTTCATATTTATAACCCTAGTTCCCAATAACCCGACATTTCACAAACTCGACACCCTTCCAGTCCACATTACGCCGAGTTTTTGGGACTCTACTGTACTTGTAAACTTTTTATATCAGAATTTGGCCAAGAGAAAATTGGGTTAAATTTGGCCCCAATAGCAGATTTATTATCGAAGAAAATATAAAATTATGTTGCATTTCCCACTTAAGATAGTGGAAAATGTCCTAAAAAGTTTCAACCCAAACTTTGACATGACAAATCTCAGAAAATAACCAAGATATCAGACAAATGTTGTGTGGTTTGAATCAAATCACTAAATTTCATAAAATTCTTATAACCTTGAGTGTCAAAGTGTCCTTGGGCAGGATATTAGAAATAGAATGACCGTAAAGCTACCTAAGTATTTTGTTAAGATGTTTTAGCTCCGAATGTGAAAGGTAAAATGGTTACAGTAGTAAATAAAATTACTGAAGTTGATAAAAGAAAACTGTTTATTCCATTATACTTACATTTAAAATTAACAAAATATAAAATGAAGTTGAAGTAACATGGATTTCACAGTTATCTCCCACCAAAGCTTGGTTACTGAAACAGAAAATAAAGACATAAAACTTTGTTCAAGAAATCAAGAAAGATCTAAACTAGATTGTTCAAGACAGTAAGAAAGATCTTAAATTCAGATTTTACGTTCTTTGAAAACATCCAAAATTCCCAGTTGATATCAGTGGTGATCTAATAGGCTCAAAGGCTTGATTAAGGTAGTAAAACTATTTGAAACGACAAGTTGAGTGTGCTGGTGGCTGCTGTAGGATAGTTTTATTTATATCCCATATACTTGAAATACTATTTAGCCCTTTCATTACCAAGCAATAATGTTAGTCCAAAATGATCAAATCCATGACCGTTTAGAGATGAAGTTTCATCTGGTAAAAGCAGCGAACAATGAAATTACGGTCAGCTGATAAAGCTACTAAATAATAAAATTAGTTGTTAATGAAACTAAGGAAATAAATGCAATGTTATCTATCAAACTTAGTCATGGTTGTTTGTTAAGCATTCATTTCACACACATTATGCTAAGGGTTGACTTCACACAGGAGCATCGACTATTCAATTGGAATTGTTCAAATCGCATGCAATTAAAGCAAGTCTATATGAACAAAACAACATCCTCTATTGAACTATTTGAACATAACACATCCTACTAATCCAAAATGCTTTAAATGAGGTTTGTTAATAAAAATAAAAATAAAACACTCGGTTAATAATTGTTTATCATGTCTTCAATCATCACTCTGATTTACCATGGTTGTTTAATCAGATGGTCTGAATAAAAATTATGTTCATTTCTTGCCCTGTAACATGAAAATACGTTGGTGAATTTGTTGTTTGTACTTTCCTATATCGCAAACCCAACAAACATCACAAATTGTCTTGTGGTTAAGTTCATTGGCAGACAGTTGAAGTTTTTCTCATACAATCTCGCTTATATTTAACTTTCCAGGGGAAGCAACTTTATTTTTTAAATTAACCTCAACATTGGTGGTCAGGGCCTATGTCCACCAGGCTAAGCTTCTCTATGCACCACATTCATAACCAATTTATACCAAGACATACAACACATGTTTAAAGTAAGTTTCCATTCATAAATTCATGGTAAGATACAAAGGTTTTCCCTGCAAGCGACGCTTATGTTACCTAGTTTTGTGCATAATTCTTCACAGGTAATTTAAAATCGTAACAGACGACGCTCAGTTTTGTTAACAGTACAACTCCGGTTAAACGAAACCCGGGAAAATTTTTAAATGTTAAGGTAGAAGCGATACCTCATTTTAAAGGGTAATTTGTACCTTGATTGGTTTGGCCGCTTTACATTGTGTACACATGGTTTGCCTCACCCTCTACATGTGTCTATAAGCACAATAATGTAAAAATGATCTGATTGCAATGAAATTTGGTATAAATGTGTAAACCTGTTTATTCAAATAAGTTTGCAAAATGATCAGACTTAGAGAAACGGGGTTTTATGGGGTACAAAATTGGGTTTTTTCTCATTTTTGACCCTCAAAACATTGAATTTCTCAATTACTCTCAAAGCCATTAAGAATTGCTTGGAAAACAAATAATTTAGCCTATCAAAGCGTGTTTGTAGCCTACAGCTAATAGTTCCAAGAAAATTAAAAAAAAATTGTAGATTTAAAATTTTCTATGTTATTCTTATGGAGAAGTAAACTGTTGTAGCCTAAGTTTGCTTGTTTAATATTTTTATTAAACTTGGCAAATTTATTTATTTAATGTTAAGCTATTAACATTGTAATAAAAAAATACCCCCGCCGCAGCAAACCTGCAGACTAAGTAAATTTTCATCTGCCTGGCTGGAATTCCATTAAATTATTGCCTTAAAATTGACAGATTTATATTCTATTTAAATATCATTAATTCTAATGAGTACTTAGGTTTGCTGCTACAGGGAAGAAATGGGTTTTTTATTGAAATATTGATAGCTTAGTATAAATACTGTGAACAAAATTTCAAAATTACATTAAAATATGTCTATAGGCAAGAAAGCTACAACAGTTTATTTATTCTCCATAAGAATAACATTGTAATTTAAAATTTACACTTTTAGAGAATTTCCTTATAGGGAAGTAGCTATTACCATAGGTCTCATAATAATACTTGAGCCCGGAACTGATTTACTTTTTCATTTTGATGTCCCCAGAGGCCAAAAACACTATTCGTTCAGATTTTTATATAAAGTGTGTGTCCGTGAACACGATAACTTGAGTAAATTTTGTTTGATTTGGATGAAATTTGGTTTGAAGGTGTAAGGCGCGATAAACTTGAATGAGTTTCTTAACCAGCATGATTGGACCATGGGAACGTTGCTTTACGGGGTAAAAATTGGGTTTCCTCATTTTGACCATCAAAAAACACAAAATTTCCCAATTAAAGAGTTTTAAAAGACAAATAATTTAATATACTAAAGTGTTTTTGTGTGGTTATTGGTCACGCACAAAATAAAAATGTTATAAATTTATTGTTATTTTTATGGAGAATATTGTAGAATGTTGTAGTTTTCTTGTTTATATAATTTAATCAATCTTGGCAAATTTATTTATACTAAGCTATTGAAATATTTTACTAAAAACACACTTTATTAGTCTCTCTGTAGCAGCAAACCTAGGTACTCATTTAACCTAATGTTAATTCAATAGATTTAATTTTATATCGATTCAGGGAAATGGAAATTTGCATAGTCTGCAGGTTTGCTGCCGTGGGGGTATTTTGGGATTTTTCCCGTAACCGTTAGGCATACAACAATGCTTCAATATACTAAATTTTTTTTTTAGCTCTAAATTTTATGTTTTCAGGGTGAAAATGGGAAACAACCATTTTTAGCCCATAAAACCCCCTATAAACCCCTGTTCCTATAATCCGATCATGCTGGTTTGCAAACTGGTTCGAATAAATGTAGGTTTACACAATTATACCAAATTGCATCAAAATCGGATAATTTTTGCTCGAGTTATCGTGCTAACGGACACATATATTAATATAAATCGGTATCAAGAATCGTGAGTAATATTTCAGAACTGGTATAGAATCGAGAAATTCTATTATCGGCCTAACCCTATTTAAAATAGGCTACAATTAATGTTCAACTAGGACGTAAATCAAGCCATGACCTTTGAGACCTTTGTTCCAGCTATGCATGGATCGACACTGCTGCTACCCTGCTAAACGTTATTATGGAGCTGGCAGCGAGTCGGCGTATTCTGTCGGCGGACCTGAGATTTGATTCTCGAATCTGGTTAATTTATATTCTAAATCTTCCGTAAATATACATTCACTATACAATTTTTCGTATATATTGGTTAAAAATTGTTAGAACTATAAAATTCCTTGAAAATAAACGAACATTATGATTAGAGATGGGCCGATACCAAAAATTGTCGATACCGATACCACCAAAGTACTCTCGATTCCTATCGATACCGATACTTCCGATACCTATCTTTTTTGCACAGTGTCTTCCACTAAAAACTGTTATACCATAAAAAAACACAATATGTATGTGTATCAAACTTGTATTTTGGTGTTAAAGGTTTATTATTAATTGCAAAAAACAATTGCAAAAATATGGAACTAAGTGTTTATTTTAAAATAGGCCTACTGTAAATGTTTGAATTTGACTAAATTATGAGATTTAATAAAGTTTCGCCTAATTTATAAATAGGCTTATAGAAACAGTTATATATCTTCAAAATTTGTTTAACTATGAAAAAGTCACCAAGTCTAGCTGAAAACACGTTCATAAAAAAGGATATTTTTGAAATACAGAATAACTAATCAAACAAACTTTTTATTTTTAACACTTTTATTTCTTAACTTTTCTTCTTGAAAATGTCAACAGTTTTTCACTTATTTTTAATCAAGATTATCACTTGGCCTATAATTTCTCGAAAGAAATCTACGTGTGAGCTATGAAGAGCAGACAAGAGACAAACGTCACTGCCACAAAAACTATTCTCTACTGTGAATGAATGAACTGAGTGTTTATTTAGTGTGAAGCCCCGCCCACCGTCTAACGGGACATGGGGTAGGAAAAGAGAAAGTTTGCTCTAAAGCCTGGTTCACATGCCCTCCCTTACCCTCGGCGTCAGTCGCTTGCAGATTTCCATTACACAAACGTTTCTAAGTGTTAATTATTATAAAACACTGTAAATGTTTGAATTTGACTGTGATGAGATCTAATAAAGTTTCCTCTAATTTATAAATAGGTTTTGGCAGAGTGGATTCACTGTGAACCGGCCTGCCTGGCCCTTATGCTCGACGTCACTATAACTTCCGTGTAGGGGTGTCAAAAATGGATCGGAACAATCGATGTTTTGAACCTGTCTGTAACTAACCTAGTTTTTTGTATACTTTAATACTCATTATGCATAAACGAACACGTACTACATAATCGGATCTCGAATCATGATAAATTATCGATACCCTTCCCACCCACAATAAGCAAAGCACATAAAACGATGTCTAAGCAATCGTCATTTGCTCCATTGAAACACGAAAGTCGATTGGCTGACATGGTAGTGCGTTGTCGCCTCCTGACCAATGAGAACTGTCGTTACATACTTTTATTGTCAACATTCATCATTCGTTATAACATTACAAAATCTACATGGACTAAGGCTTATGATATTTTTCAATAAATGCATTGTGTCATAGTAGCACTTAAAACTTCACTAAACTCTTTAATCAAGTAGATAGTACAGATAAATATGGACCTACTTTTTGGCACAATATAAAGCAAGCCTAACCATACGACGATGACGATGTTAAAGTTTAATGGTTGAATATTGCAGGGAGGAAACTGAACATTTCAACGTGTTTAGGTTATTTATTTTGTACTAAAAATAAAATAATACATCTAAATGTCTGACTTATTGATACAGACATTGTATAATTAATTTCGTGTTGGCAGGACATTCGCGCGCCGGTTGTCTCATGAGTTGAGTCTGACATCTTGAAATGTAGATTGTGTTGTGCAATGAGCTGAAGCTAAACAATGTCACCGGCACAGTAGCTGTTTTGAACTAGATAGTTTCTAAGTTGGCTATGAAAATTGTTAACCGTGATTACAAAACTAATCGTGATTACAAAACTAATCGTGATTACAAAACTAATACTGTAGCTATAAAGTTAATAAATGTTAAAATAAAATATTTATCCCTGTCGGGTGTCGGTGTCATCGGAATCGACTTTTGACAATCGAGTCTTGGTACCGAACCGATACCAATGTGCAAGTGGTAACCAATGGATGGTGGTATCGATGACGATAATCGACACATCCCTTTTTAGAATCGAATTGAAATTTCAATACATCGCACTCGCTGCACACCACTACCTATCACTATCACCATCACCCAGTGTCAGCTCTCACTGTCAGTGAAATGGATGACGCAAGCGATGTCTAGGTTGCCAATTATTATTAGGCCTAGTATGTCAATATTGAATGGGGTTAAGGGATTAAATAAAACTCAAACATTTTCCTTTCTTATTATTTACTTGTCAAATATCAACGAAATCGGCTTAACCTCTACTACTCGACTCGAGTATATTTAACTAAGTAGGCAAACAGCTAGGATTCGTAACGGCAACGGCAATTTACCCGCTCGGCGCTCTGACTGAACTGACTTAATCCGCAACGCACCGATTCGTAGCATTCAGTGGTTCAGTGTCAGTATCGGTATCGAACCCAAAACAGGCAAGTATCGAGTATCGACGATACCTCTGGTATCGAGAGTATTTTGGTATCGAGTATCGGTATCGGCCCACCTCTAATTATGATAATAGTTTAAATTAAAGGATAGCCTAATGCCCAAATATAACATTTTGACGGATATTTCACGGTTTATTCACGGCAGTTAAAATTTTCGATTTTCCTGTAATTCCTGGTCGCTGACAACCCTGATTAAAGACATACCTCAATAAAAATACTAAGTAAACAAAAAATAAGAAACTAAACAAAAAATAAGAAACTGCCAAGCATCCATATGAGCCACCTCTTTTGGTTTATACTATAATACTCTGTTTATTTCTTATGCTGCTTGATATAAGTTATACCATCGCAGGTGAAGCCGCGGGTACAAGCTAGTATTAGGAATAGGATAAATGAAACACACTAAATCGAATTGGGATTGTTTTGTTTTAATATCTTAACCTATAACTGTGCAGTAAACCAAAAACCATATAATAGGCGGTCAAGACAGGTTTAAGGTGTACGTGAAGATGAATAGGAATTGAAATCTGAAATAAAACACACTAGCCCTAGTCTTCAAAAATATTTAAACTAGACGTTATCTGAATCCTGTAATAAAAATGTATGGAAAGTCCTCATAATGTGAAGTATAAATCTTTTTATTAGGCTACTTTGAACTAACTACTCTAACTTACCTTCTTGCCAGCAGCCGCACCAACTTTAGACTTCTTTGTACCTCTGACTTTCTTCATTCTGTTCTTGCGTTCCTTGCGCTGTTTCCTGGTTTGTGTTTTCTTCTCAAACAGGCCATGCTGTAAAAAAGATAAATGTATTGTAAGCTTGCGAAACAAGGCTTACTGAGATATACTTTTATCATTCATTATGAAGAGAAAGAAATTCTGATCAATTTGGCTTGATTCTGAAAGCACTGCTCGAAAGACCAAAACAATAACAAATATTGTTATTTTATAGGTTTTTCCAAGGGAAAAGCTCAGGATTATATCCCGAGATATTAAGTACCGTACCCAAACCTATAAAAGGTTTTTAATGGATGGCAAATTTAATCCGCAAAAACTTCCACCAGGCTCAACTACAAAACCTTCATATTCAATAATTTTAATGGATTTTTAAAATTGAAATGTTGATACATGTTTACTTGTAACCACAAAGATTTATGGACTCAACACAATAAAATAATAAAATAACTTTTTTGAGACCAGATGCTCTAAAGAAATTAATATTCATTTTTAGCAAGCAGATGAAATTGCATAATATAAGCTTAATATAAGCATAATAAGCTTGCACTACTTAAACAATACTATGAGATAACTACATACCCTTGCTAATCTGTGTTTGGGCTCAAACTTCTTAGCATAGTCCATGGTATCATAGACAAGAGCAAAACCTGTTGATTTACCACCACCAAAGGCGGTTCTGAATCCAAAACAAAAGACGACATCGGGAGTAACTTTGTACATTTTTGCGAGCTTTTCCCTGATTTCAGTCTTCTTTACTGAGGGTTGACCTGGGTGAAGAACATCAACCACCTAAAAATAACACATATATGATTACAAAACTGAAAAATATCAGCTTACTTTGACCAAAAAGAAGTAAAGATGTGAGCCCCCTGAAATTGTCAGGGCGATAACAAATGATATTATGAATACAATAAAGGACATGAAAAACAATAAAGCGCCGGGAGAAGATGGAATAGCAGCAGAGATGTTAAAAGCAGGAAAGAAATACGTAGCAGAACAAATTCACAAACTGATCACAAAAATATGGGAATCAGAAAACACACCAGATGAATGGAAAGAAGCGTTAGTAGTCCCCATACACAAAAAAGGCAGTAAACAGGAGTGTAACAATTACAGAGGTATATCACTTTTAAATGTAACTTACAAAGTATTGTCAAAAATTACACAGAGAAGATTAGAAGAATACACATCAACCATCATTGGAGAACATCAAGCTGGCTTTACCAAAGGAAAATCTACCATAGATCAAATTTTCATTTTAAAAGAATCAATAGCAAAATACTATGAATTTAAACAATCTTTCTACTGCATTTTCATAGACTTTACAAAAGCTTACGACAGTTTAGACAGAAAAAGAATATGGAAAGTAATGGAAAAACAGGGAATTCCAAAAAAACTTATAAAAATGGCCTCATTAAGTGTCCAAGACTCAAAATGTAAAGTAAAAGTGGAAGGACAAGTGTCAGAGGCTTTCTCAGTAGACACTGGAGTGAGACAGGGAGATGGAATATCCCCAATACTTTTCAACATTGCTCTAGAAGAAGCACTACAGAAAGTTAAAAGTTCAGAGGTAGGGATAAAGATAGGAAAGAAAATAAATATTTTAGCCTTTGCGGATGATGTTGCGATATTAGCACATACAAAACAAGACTTAGAAGATCTAGTCAGAATATTGATTGAGGAAACGAAAAAGGCTGGCCTTGAAATAAATGATAGAAAAACTAAATATATGCAATGTGGTAGACGAGATGACCAAGAAGAGGACAATGAAGTCCTGCAGATAGAAAACCATGTTTTCCAAAAAGTGAACAATTTCACCTACCTGGGAGTCTTATTAACAAATGATAATAATGAAGAACTGGAAATAACTAACAGACTCAATGCTGCAAACAGAAGCCTCCATGCATGTAACAAAATTTTGAGCTCAAAGCTGTTATCCCGCAATACTAAAGTAAGAGTTTATAAAACTATAATTAGACCGACACTAATGTATGGATCTGAGTGTTGGGTAATGAGCAAAAAATCAGAAAAACGGTTAGTAACTTTTGAAAACAAAATTCTTAGGAAAATATATGGCCCAACTAAAGAAGATGGATTCTGGAGAATTAGACATAATTTCAAAATAAGAGAGCTATATAAAGACCCAGATATAACAGCTGAGGTAAAAAGCAGACGCATTAGGTGGGCGGGTCATGTCCTCAGAAGAGAACATGGCACAACCTTAAGCAGTGTATTAAGGAACGACCCAGAAGGCAGAAGGCCACCAGGCAGGCCTAAACTGAGATGGAAGGACCAGGTGCGACGGGACTTGAGGAAGCTGGGTAGAAATGAAGACCAGGCGCAGGACAGAGAAGGCTGGAGGCAATGTGTAGGCGAGGCCAAGTACCACTTGGGGTACCTATGGCCACTGCAGTAAGTAAGTAAGTAAATATTGTAAATATGTGGTTTCCCTGGACACTAAATTAAAATACCTAGCTCAATAAAATAAAAGGGCAAACTGAATTATTAAACTCAACACTTTTTAATTGAACCAACTAAAGAAGACATACATTAAAACTATTATTGTTTTTAACAACACATTTAACAATTTAACCATCTGGTATTCATCATTGAAGTATAACATTAAAAACAGACATGTGGCAAATATTAAATTGCACTCAACACCCCTCCTCAATTTAATAATTTTACATTTGACACAATTAACAAACAAACAATCCTAACATCTTTCTCAAATTGCCAAACCGAGGTGCAGGCAGACTTTTTGTAAAAATGTCTGCAATCTGATTTTCCGAACATATATATTCTGCAGACATGATTCTCCGCTGGTGAAGTTCCCGCACAAAATTGTATTTAACATTCACATGTCTCAATCGGCGATGCTCCCACTTCTGTAGAAGTCGTATGCAAGATTGATTATCTTCCAGGATGCGGATTGGTAACTTAAGCAAAATTTGAAAATCTTCTATCAGATACTTCATCCAGAGTAATTCGGCTGCTGCTGTTGCCAAAGCTACATATTCCGCCTCTGTAGATGATAACGCAACACTAGATTGCTTCTTTGTTGCCCAACTTACAGTACTTCCAAACACTTGTATGAGATAACCTGAGGTCGATCTTGAATCTCCACTTTTATTCCAGTTTGCATCAGCGTAAGCCAGAATAATGTCATCTTGTTTGCTCTTTTGATAACATAATTTTAAGTCGATTGTTCCTTTTATATATCTTAGGACTCTCTTCAAACATTTCCAGAGTTCTTCTGTTGGGTCACTTTGATGCCTGCTTAGGAAATTTACTACAGCACTCAAATCTGGCCTTGTACCTAGCATTGCATACATTAAGCATCCGATTACTTCTCTGCACGGCTTATCAGTCCTTTTTCCGCCTTTGATTTCTAGTTTTACTTCCATTGGCGTTTTGACTGGGCAACAATCTTGCATGTTAAATCGTTTAAGAAGACTCTTTAGGTAGGCAGTCTGACTTAAGTACATTTCCCCCTCACTCCTGGAGATTTCGATTCCCAAAAATGTTTTTGGTTCTCCCAATTCCTTGATTTTAAACTTCTCATTCAACTTTACTTTAATTTCCTTGATTTTCTCCCTATTATTTCCTGCCATGAGAATATCATCAACATAGAGCACAAGATACACGACAATATCATTTTGTATCATAACGTAAAGACATTTGTCGGATTCTGATTGGGTGAAACCAACTGAAATGAGAAATGAATGAATAGCTTGATTCCATGCTAATGGTGCCTGTTTCAAGCCATATAGCGCCTTTTGCAATTTGCAAACGGAGCCGGGTGTTCCTTCAACTCCTTCAGGAATGGACATATATATTTCCTCCTTCAGTTCACCATGAAGAAAAGCATTGTTGACGTCTAATTGTTCAAGAATTAATCCACATTCGTTTGCTACAGCCAGCAACACCCTAACTGTTGCAAGACGAACCACTGGAGCATATGTTTCTTCATAGTCAAAACCCTTTCTCTGTGAACATCCTTTGATAACAAGTCTTGCCTTGTATCGTTCAATATTTCCGTCCATGTCTTTCTTCAATTTGAAAACCCATTTACTGGAGATAGCTTTCCTTCCAGGTGGTAGTTCAGTGTAAGTCCAAGTTTTGTTTTCCTTTATAGAGTTAAGTTCTTCCTTAACAGCTTGATACCAATGATCCTTATCATCACGTGCTGCAATATCCTTGTAACTTTGCGGTACATCATCGACAAAAGATTCAGCATTCAGAGCAAGAACTGCATAATCCTGTAAGTATCTTGGCACATTCCTCTTTCTGGTAGAGTGTCTTATTGTTTCTTCTTCACTTACATGATCTTCAATTTCTTCTTCCTCTTCTTCAAGATCTGGTATAGAAATTCTTTGATTTTCATCAGACAATGATCTGGGTTCTTCTTTGTTCTTGTCTTCCTTTTTACTCGATCTGGATTCATGTACATGATCGGGAATCCAGTCTTCAATTGGTGTGCTCTCAAAGTTAAATTTTTCCTCATAAAACACAACATTTCTTCCAGTGATTATTTTTCCTTCTTCAGGACACCACAGTCGATAACCATTAGGACAATATCCAGTAAAGTAACACTTCAAGCACTTGCTGTCAAATTTACTCGATATTAATTCCTTAGGTAACAGCAAATATGCTGCACAGCCAAAAACTCTTAACTTACTAAGATTAGGCTTCTCATTGTACCATAAAGCAGCAGGGATCTTTCCTCCTAAAGCTGATGTCGGACTTCGGTTGATTAGATATACAGCAGTTCGAACAGCTTCTGACCAAAATGTCTTACCTAATTCACAATTAAGTATTAAACAACGAGCCCTTTCAACAATAGTCCTGTTCATTCGTTCTGAGACACCGTTCTGTTGAGGAGTATATCCGATTGTGAACACATACTGAATTCCTTGCTCCTCAAAAAACTGCTTCAACTCATTTGACTTGTATTCACGACCATTGTCACAACGAAATCTGCTAATCTTTAGATTGAAATGAGATGTAGCCAAAGCATGATACATCTTGACGTATCGTGTGACTTCCGCCTTCGATTCTAGACCATAGGCCACCGTGAAATGAGTAAAGTCGTCAATAAAAGTGATGATATATTTCTTACCGTCAAATGAAACTGGTGAGATTGGACCACACAAATCACTGTGAATCAACTCAAGAGGTCTGGTGGCACGTCTCCTGTTCTGATTGTAAGGAAATTGTGATTGTTTCCCTTCAACACACTTTGAACACTTTTCTAAGGGTAATGTTGAAGCATTTAACTCCATCCCATCTACCTGCGACCTGAGACTTTTAATACAACCATAGCTCAAATGACCAAGCCTGTCATGCCACAGCTTCATTTCTGTTTCAGTTGAAGACACTGACAAAGCTTTGTGTTGCAAAAAATTTAACATATATAACTGAGAATTGTTTCTTTTTGCAACCGCAACAGTTTGATTATCTTTCTTAATCAAGCCACATGAATTTTGAAAGATAACACAAAAACCATTCATTTCCAATTTTTTTACTGAAAGTAAATTGTAACTAATTCCAGGTACAGATAAAACATCTTTGATTGTTATTTTAACTTCCTTCCCTTCCACAACACTAGTGACATACAATTCCCCTTTACTTTTTGCTTCAAGATATGTTCCAGACTTGGCTACTTCGATTTTAATAGGTTGTTCTAATTTCTTAAAGTTAGAGAGACATACCTCATTACTGTTAACCAGATGTTCTGTTGCTCCAGAATCTAATATCCAATTTATGGTATCTGCTGAACAGTCTTCACTTGATGTTCCAAAACAAAATGCATCTTCCTGTTTGGTGTCGACCACGTTCGCAGAATTATTTTTCTTTGATGGGTTCTGTGGTAATTTGACTCTGCAGTTAGCTCGTTTGTGTCCAAGCTTTCCGCATCTGTGACAAGTGAAATTGAACGAGTTGCCAGAAGTTCCTTGATTTCCTGGAAAATTTTTCTTTTTCCCTGGTTGAGACTGGAAGGCAGTAGGAGGTGATGTACAATCAAATTCAATTTTTCCAACGCCCCTCCTCTTTGTCTCCTCTTCCAGCAGTCTGACCTTCACAAAGCTTAGAGATAAGTCCTTCATTGATAGAGTCTCTATGGCCGTGACAACGACGTCATATTCTTTGGGCATGGTCAGTAGTAGATGACAAACAATGTCAGATTCCTCGACAGTTGCTCCTGTAGAACGTAACTCTCTTATGACTTTGTAAAATTTCAGAAAGTGACGATTTAAAACATCATTCTTCGCATCAAACTTCATTGTTAGTAACTGCTTCCTTAGTAGAAGTTGGCTAGCTATTCCTTTCCTTTCAAAAGTGTTGCAGAGAGATTGCCATAGTTCAAAAGCAGTTGCCTTGTCTTTTGCATATTCCAAATGGCTGTCGGCAATACGCTGTATAATCTGCGACTTGCACTTTCGATCTTGTTTCGCTAATTCCAACAACCTTGCTTCCTTCCTCTCTCGTTGTTCATCTGTGTCTTTATCCAGAAATTCAACTTTGGTAACATAAGATTCCTTTACAAAAGATAATAATTCTAATTCCTCCAGCAGAGTTTCAATTCTAAATTTCCAATTGCTGAAATTGGTTCCATCCAACAATGGTATTCGATACTTTTCATGTTCAGTTGCCATATTAATTCAATTTCATTAGCCAGGTAAAAAAAAATATTAACAAATTCCGTATTTAAACAGCCCTGGGCCCATAACCTGTAAATATGTGGTTTCCCTGGACACTAAATTAAAATACCTAGCTCAATAAAATAAAAGGGCAAACTGAATTATTAAACTCAACACTTTTTAATTGAACCAACTAAAGAAGACATACATTAAAACTATTATTGTTTTTAACAACACATTTAACAATTTAACCATCTGGTATTCATCATTGAAGTATAACATTAAAAACAGACATGTGGCAAATATTAAATTGCACTCAACAAATATGATCAATTGCCTTTAACAAATATTTAATTTTGCATTTAAAATGTTTATTGTGAGAGGCATAATTGATACAGGTTTATAATAATATAGTTATACTAGCTGACCCGGCGAACTTCGTATCGCTTAAGTTATAGGTTTCCCCTAAGACAGACCGATGGAAAGAAAGTACCGTTACGTTTAATTTTCAAGATGATCTCGTTCGCATCGCTCAATCACGTCCTGGTTGAAGTTCGTTCGCTACGCTCACTCACCTTTGGGTTGGAGCTCGTTCGCTACGCTCACTCACCTTTAGGTTGGAGCTCGTTCGCTGCGCTCACTTGCCTTCAGGTTAGCTCGTTCGCTACGCTAATTCGCCTCCAGGTTGAAGTTCGTTCGCTACGCTCACTCACCTTTTGGTTGCAAATTAGCTGTTGTCATAAATGTAAAAGAAATAATAGTGCTGCACCCTGTTGGTAATCCTTGTAACTTTAATGCTATTGAACATCATAGAACAGAACCAACTTGTTTAATTGAAACAGCTGTTAAGATTCATTAATTCCATTTCTCATAAGGTTAACATGGGAAACTCCAGAGCCACTGGGGCGGAGCCCTTTTAAGAATTTCGAAACGGGAAATAGTTTACGTCCGATTCGCATACCTACAGAATTTACACACCAAATTTCATAACGATCGGTGAAGTCGTTCCGGAGGAGTTTGCAGACAAACACTGTGACACGAGAATTTTATATATTAGATGATATAATTTACACTTTAGTACAGTAATAACTGTTTTATAGACCCTATGAGATGAAAAAGAAAACATTATGGACCAATATATTTATTACCTTCCTTTTCTAAGATCTTTGAAAAAGCTATGTGTATAAAATTAAAACATAATTTCTGGAAACCAACAACTTAATTGATGAAGGTCTTTCAATCCGGCAAGTCTGTAATTAATGCTAGTGTTCAGTTCATTAAACCAGCAGGCCCAATAGATTCGGTGGATACCAGAAATTAAAAGTTACTAGGGGTCTTTTTTGGACCTCAAGGCTTTTGTTATTGTGTCACATCACAAGTTGGTAAATATCTTCTTTTTTTTGGGTATCAAAGAGAGAGCTTTAGCTTGGTTTAAATTGTATTTAAATAACAGACAACAATATGTAGAAATCACTAATGGGTCATAATCAAATTACGGGCAAATTTGATGTAAAATAAGTTACAATAAAAAGTAATATGTTAAAAAATAACCCGCCGCATAAAACCTGCAGACTAAGCTAATTTCCAATTTCCTAACTGGATTTCTACTAAAATATTCCCTTAAAATGTTCAGATTTATTGTCTACTAGCTGTTGTACCCATGCTTCGCAACAGAGACGACATTGAAGCGAAAAATTTGATCTTGAATTCTGTTGTATGAAATAGTTAAACACATTCCCCTTTGTTTTCTGGAACATAACTGGTATAAAATAAATACATTTACCGTACCAAGTTTGATCAAAATATATCCATAAACAAGCAAACTACAACTTTTTAAAACATTCTCCATCAGAATAACATGGAAATTTGAAAAAAATTTTTTTTTGAATTTTCTCCGTAACCAATAAATTGGTCAAAAACACTGGGATATATTAAATTATTAGTTTTTTTAAGTTCTTTAAAATTGTCAAGAGAGAAATTGGGAAATTTTGTTTAGAGGGGCAAATAATTAGAAAAACCTATTTTTACCCCATCCGATCATGCTGGTTCTCGAACTCATTCGAGATTATCCTGCCTTACACTTCCAAACCAAATTTCATCAAAATCAGACAAAAATTACACAAGTAATTGTGTTCACGGACCCATATTATATTATATATAAATCTGTTATAAATATTTTATATATAGGCCTATACATAGGCTAAATAAAAATTTGAACGAATGGTGTTTTTGGCCTCTGGGGACATCAAAATGAAAAAGTAAATCGGTCCCGGGCCTAGGTCTTACCATGCCACCTACGGTAATACAGTACCTACTTCCCTATAGGGAAATTCGCTAAAAGTAAATCGGTCCCGGGTCTAGGTCTTACCATGAGACCTACGGTAGCTTATTCTCTATATGGGAAATTCGCTAAAATCATGTGTGAAAAAAATTTATTTATAAGCTTAATTTTCCCCCTTGCTCAGTGTCTCCATGTCTTAGTGACTAAGTTAAGGACAAGAGTTGTTTTGAAAAGCAGAATATTGTATATGAAAAACGCTCGCTAAATAAAGACCATTCAAACCGTTAAGTAAAGAAAGTTTAAAGTTAAAAATATTCAAGACATAATGTCAAAAAATAATTTTATCATTCTACATAGCAACGAAATTATGCCATTTGTTAATCAGATAAGGATAGATGTTTATTATCATCACGTTTTTAATTATTTATGAAGAATTACATGTCTACATGTCACAATGAATTTGCTGTGATATTTTAAATTTGCCACCAAATCAGCTGCAAATCAATGTATTCCGGCATGCACCAGGAGTTTGTGTGAGTTAAGGGTAATGGCTTGGAAATCGGGTGAAACTACCTCGCAAATCTAATATTTCTTGATTAAAGACATTTCAGGTAAGAAATAGTGCGTAGGTACCTTAATATTCACCTCGCTCTTTATCTCTCAACTCAATACATATAAATTACTATTTAAACAATGGTATCATTTGAAAGAACTGAGATAGCAGATAAACGTCATTTCAGTAAGCACAATACTGCAGTTACAGTCACATCAAGAGTAATAGACTAGACAGCTCCAAGATTTTCACTTCACTTACAATCACCTCCCTCACGTGATTGGAGTGAAGTACGTTCAAGCGGAGTGAACAATTTGCTGATAAATAACTTGTTTTATGAGCTTTATTCTTATTGTTTACTAACCATGATCAAATGTTTATAGGCTATATTTTTGTTGTATAAAATATATTTTGTTAAAATTTAACCTCTGTACATTCTATTAAAAGACAATTTTTTAAGAGGTTTTATTGAGCTGATTGGGCGATTTACTTTAGACTATAAGTTACAAAGTCGTTCGAAATATATAGATCTCATACAATTATGAATAAAATCTCGGTTTACCTGGACACTAAACTTAACATGTTGCAACTTACCATTTGTTTCCTGCATAGCAGTCTGTTTGTCATAAACTTCCTAGTACGGATGGTAGCTGTACCCTCACTCTGTAAAATTATAACTCTCATTAAGCTCGATAGCTTAAATACATCAAGTCAACATTAAAACTGGATTGAACTAAGTTACATCTGAAGGCCTAATGTAAATTAGCATGTGATAAATTAGCAATGTTGACATCGCTCAATACGTCACAAAGATGGTAACTTGATGACTTAACTTAACATTAATGTTTGATAATATCATAGACAAAAAGAATTAAATATAGACCGTCAGCTGTGCTGCGGTTACCATAGGTTCTGGCGCACACCGCTTGGAGCACCACGGTAGTTACGGCGTACGCGCTACGTAAACTACAGTGGTGTGCGCCGGAACCTATGGTAACCATGGCAACCACAGTACGGCTGACGGTCTATATTTCATTCTTTTTGTCTATGATAATATGAAAATTGTTAGTAATAGGCCTATGCTGGAGAATTTTTAACAGGGCTAAGATTTATTATACATTAAACTAAGTTTAGCCCCTCCACAAATATCTTGTCCAAACCAATAAAAGTTAAAATACCATAACAAATTCTTTGCAAGTTTAACCTTCCAGAGGTTGCATCACAGAGGTAACCTCCATGGATGTTTTATTTTTGCAATTATATAATTTTGAGTGGTGTCGGCAGTGTGAGTGTCACTGTACCTCGAAGGTCAAAACTCACCCCTACTTAGATGTGTTCAGTTTTGTAAGAGGCTGGAAGTAGCTTCCAAGTGCGCTCTACCAATTCTTGTACAGCCTGGGGGCAACTTCCGTGTGTGACCTATAGTTTTTAGTGTGTGCTTTGATTATTGCATGTAAATAATTATATTTTTACGATTCATGACATTATTTAGTAAATATATAGTTTTTACAAGATAAGTGAAGAAGTTAAATTTTGAATTGCAACACTCTTAGCCAGTGCTGAAAGGGAGATTCACGAACGATGTACCTATGTACAGAGTCATTTAGTACCGGTAGGCCTATTAAGATACCCATTATGTTAACTTAAATGACTTAAAACATCAGGTATTGTGAGTGTTATCATGTAGAACCACTTAGGACATTGTGGTAAAATTTATTACGGTATCTTCTTGAATCATAAGTTAATATTTTTGTAAAATATTTCTTGATATAGGCCTAGCCTACTTTTATGTTAGAACATTTTATAGAATAATAGTTTAATTTCATAGCCTATTTATAAAATCTAATTAGGCCTAAGTTATTTTATAATTAAGAGTTCACAAAAACACATTCTTGATGTCCCTATAAAATTTAAAAAGAAATAATTTGCACACTAAAATACAAATTTTACTTAAATAAATGTTTGTTTTATTGACCTGGAAGTAACCTCCTGGTTGCCCCTCTTCCGTTTTCAAAACCAATGCGCCCTCTGTAAGGTTAATAAAACTTTTGCCACAGCGTCGCTCATAGCATCGTAATGTATTAAAACATAAATAAATTGCCGAGCGTTGCTGACGGCAACTCTGTATTTCGTATAGGTCTATTACTCAAACAACAAAACTTACAGGCTTTAATAACACATGGTTTTGATCAAAAATGTATAGCGTGTGATCAAAAACCTATTCTAAATATATAGAAGTAAGTTTAGGCCAAAAAGTTTACAACCATAAAGACCACAAATTGATGGTTGCGTACAAGGAAAAGGCCTCACAAAAGAACCCAGTGCTTCTTCTGTAACTAACTTAGGCCTAAGTGTGTTGTAAAATCAGTAACTTGGTAAGAAAAAATTAGGTAAAGCTTAAATTGTAAGTAAAAGAAAACCAGGGATGATAGATTCGTACAACTCCTTCATGGAAGGTATTGACTGTTCAGACCGGATGTTAAATAGGCCGCTGGCTAACCCTCCAAGTGTCTCTAGTTTTGGTCTTAATAATCGCCCATTTATTGTGCAATCGCAGGGTTTTATTAAAATGTATCTTAGAAACTTAAAAACAATGTAAAGTATACTGTTTTATATATCATTTTGTTTGGAAAATTATGGGCTTCAATGTAACATATAAAACATTAGGCTACAAAAAAATGTTCAACAATTTTTGTGGGGTTAACATTTCTCAAAAATAAAATAAATGAAAAAAAACTTATGTTTGCACTCAATAAATTGTTATAATTTATAGATCTACAAATATTTTAAAATAGCCACTTTGTTCAAAATTTTATGAGGATTCCAAAAATATAATAATATAAGGAAGTAGATTTGAAAATAAATAAGTTATGGGCAAAAAACAGATTTCGGTACATAGCGTTTAGCTAAGAATGCATAGCCTAACCATAGCTAGGAATCTGGCTGATAATTTACAACATTATCACTGAGTTTACCTACTTCTTCAGGATCATCAAACAAGCCCTTCAAAAACACTTAAATCATCTTATAATGCACCACGTATATCACTACTTTTGATTTTAAACAATAAAACAATGATAAACGCAATAAAACACATCAGTCATCGGTGCGAAGTTAACCAAGCTGTTTACAAATACGCACGTCAGCTGTCTGCTACAATTATGATCGGCTCGAGAAAAAAAGCGCTTAGAGACAGACCTCGGGAGAAAGCTTAGAATCTGCCAAATAAAACGATACCTAACTCGATCCAGTTCAATCCGATTTTGTCAGTCATAGAGCCTTCGCCTGACACAAATCACTACACAAAGTGTGTTATGTGTCGATTTTACGACACAACACTCGGAGGGCTAAACTTGCGCCTACGTCGATGAGTGATGGACTGTTCAGTATAAGAAAAAGGTTGTAGGCCTATTTAACATTTATTAGAATGATTTTGCTAACCTAACTAACCCAACGATACCGGTATATCGAATGAATCAATCGATAAATCGATATTTTCATTCAAATGAGTGTAGGCCTACGACGTAAAGTAAAGTGCAGCCGATAAAAATACTAGGCCTAGGCTAGGCTAGCTAAGTCCAAAGCTGATAGGACTTAGTGGAATTGGATTATAAATAGGCCTAGGCTACCATTTGGTTGTCATTTCAGTTTTGACAACCCAATAATAAGATACTATAGAAACTGGTTTAACTTTTAACAAGAGCACTGAGAAAATGTTAACGAAGTATGGAATTATATAACCACCACTAGGCCTACATAACATAGGCCAGGATTCTAACCTTTGTCTTAAATCAAGGCAGACCTAACCTCTAATTAATTTAAATAAAGAGGGTAAATATTGGTGGAGAGGTTAGTATTCCATATCTATTTTTCATCAATTTATTAGTTAATTAAGAAAGTAAGAGGTTGTATACATATTCGGCACAAATTACAGATTCAATAATTATAAGTGGATTAATTTAACCATACCATTGTGTTGTTTTCTCGCTGATCTAGCACGTAGAAGAGCCGAAACCATAAAGGAAGTACTTTTTTCAAGCTGCCGCTGCAGTTGAGCAGTTCTTCAACTTCCTTTTATTCAACTTTGGTATCAGGCTCAACCAGTTGCTATTTAGCATACTTAAATTCATTTTTACATGTAGGGCTTTATGTATGATATCTACAAGTTATTCCAAAATTATAAATATATTATTAGGAATTCGTAGAGGTCTCAGTGAACTAACTTCTTGAAAATTTCATATAAACATGTGAGTGTCTGCAACTCCAGGATATTCAATAAATGTATCGTACTACCACAAATTTCAACTATATAAGAGTCCAAACAGGGCCTCTAGTATGATCAGTTCTCTTTAGAACCAAACCAAAAGAATCCAGTATATCTATGGAGGACGCACGTTTCGACCTTTAGGTCATCTTCTGCTCCGCTGTTGCACTAGGTTATTCATACTTAGTTGCATTGTTGGTGTAGCAACCGAACTACGTCAAATATTTTACATTGAAAAACATAGTCTGAAGTAAACATAAAAACACAAAAACACGTCACTGACGAAAACATTTAGTAAAACTATCACCGTGCGCACGGCTGAACGAGCTCGGGACTGTGTGGCGGCACTCGAGATGACTGTGCCACCGCAGTCCCGAGCCCGTTCAGCCGTGCGCACGGTGATAGTTTTACTAAATATTTTCGTCAGTGTCGTGTTTTTGTGTTTTTATGTTTACTTCAGACTATGTTTCTCAATGTAAAATTTAAATATTTGACGCGGTTGCTACACCAACAATGCAACTAAGTATGGAATAACCTAGAGCAACAGTGGAGCAAAAGATGACCTAAAGGTCGAAACGTGCGGCCTCCATAGATAAACTGGATTGATTGACGTAAGTTATAATTATTAATTTAAACATCAAACCGTTTGCTACAAATCATTCATGACAAAACCAAAAGACCTTAGAACATCAGTAAATTGTTTAGCTCTTGAATCGGATGGAAGAATGATACAATGATACAATGATTTTATTCTACCAATCAACAATATATTGTCACAGGGCTATGTCAGTGTACAAGCATAATGTACAAGCATAAATAAAATTAAAAAAGAGTTAATATTATTGTCCAAACGAATAATAATGGCTTTATTAAACTGAGTTAGAAAATTTAGACATTTCTCTAGCTGGTCCAAGGAATTCTGATTGTTACTATTGCACTGGGTGAACGATGCTGTCAAAGTCATTGATAGGTCAGTTAATAATAAAACTGCAGTAAATTCACGGTGGGCAGATTTGGTGTGTAAAAGTATGACTCATCTGGTATCGTTTGATTCATAACGAAACGAAGAAAGTCCTACAAAAATATATATGATAACCCAACCTAACATAACCGCCACAGCGTGCTGTATAAGAGGGTGGCTTCCGGATAATACCAAATGTGCCCATTTAATTTGAGAACCAGATGAAACATGAACTTTTGGTTCCTGCAAGTACACAATTCATTTATGTGAACACCAGACTTTTAATTGACTTTGGATGCTACAAATAAATAGACATTCCATTTACGTGAACCAAATATACCATTGACATTGGATACTGCCATAGATAAAACGAGTATATCTATGATACTGCTATCCCTCTCCATTAACGAGAAACAGATACAGCATTGACTTTAGAAAAGTATATTGGATTATGATAGCTCCGCTCAATATTGCAATCGCCTTCCTTATTTTAGCAATGTAACAATATATCAGTTTCAAACTTAACATGTAATAAATCTACCGTAAACTCTAGCAATCGTACTCTGACAACATGTTCATTTACTTCACCAAAATGTACGTACAGCACCTATATAATCCAGGTACATCTTAAAAGTAAATCTTACAGAAATCCAACCTACTGTTTTGGACATATCTTAACACAAAATGATTGAATCAGAAATGTCAGTTTTTAGTATTCCAAATTAAAAAGTATGTTCATATTATGTTAGATCTATAAAAGTGGGAGGTGGAGTAATGATCATGACAAAAGATAACATTAAGAGTAAAAAAATCCCTCATACCTGCTGTTGAATCTCACTGTAGCAGAGAAAGATTTTTAGTGCTGTCTTGCTGAGGTCTCTTTTGCTGATTTAAATTGTGTTAAAATTCATTTCCATTCTAGCTCCTGAGCTGTAATATTGAATATATGATGAATAGGTTACATATCTTTTAAAATCCGACAAACAGCTCATTTTTTATTGAAGGTCGTCTATACATGTTTCGGCTTGTATCGGCCATTGTCAAAACAGTTTACGACCTTCAATAAAAAATGAGCTGTTTGTCGGATTTATAAGGTAGGTATGTAATCTATTCAACATATTAAATTGTGTAATAGCATGCATATATAGATCTCCCAAAAAATGTTTGATATGAAATTGTCTGTATAAATTTGAAATTTTGTGTAGTAATATTTTAAGTAAACGTTTTTCAAATATAATTTTAGCGGGGGATTTTAACATAAAACGTAAAAGTTAAAACATAGAACGTACAAAGATTTTGTTAATATTTTAAAAATATACAATTTGTTATACTGGGTACATTTTCCAACAAGGATCGATTTGAATTCACAGAGTGCTATTGATAACATTATAAGTAATATACAGGGTGACAAAAAAGTCTGGAAACGGCTTATATCTTTTTAACTAAATCCGTTAGAAAATTCAAACCTTTCACATAAACTTACGTATGAAAACTACTTTTTGCAAGCATTACGATTTTTTATAAGCTAAGAAATCCTTTTATAAAAAGTGAAATGCGAAGTTATTGGACACAGTTCTGAACGTTAAACATGAATTTAGAAAGTCACCAAGACAAGAAGGAGTTTTGTAAAAGGAGTTTTTGTCTAGGTTACTTTCTAAATCCATGTTTAACGTCTAGAACTTTATACAAAAACCTCGCATTTCCCCTTGTATTTGTCATGAACAAGTGGACATTTTAAAACTAAACTATAACCCAAACTATAACCATTGTATTCATAAATTTCAAAACATACTGTAGGCTAAGGCATTAATTTTCACTACTAAATTTAGAGATTTCGGGGGGGGGGGGGGGTTGACCCCCTTACACAACCCTGGTTCTAATTCAGCTTATGGAGTCAGTATATATGGAGCAACTACATCACAAAACTTAAAAAGGAAAGGATTATATCACAGCAGAAAAGGACCATTAGGACAATGTTTAATTTGAAAAGAGAAGATTCGGTAAAAAAATCCTTTTACCGATCTTGGAATATTGACTGTTCGTGGACTATATATCTTTGAAACTATTATTTATGCAAAAATATTACAAAAAGTCAGGTATCAAACATAATTAGTCATAATGATATATAACATTCGTTTTTAAACTCAAATTGATAGACACAATCTAGAATTTTAAAAAAGTAGACAAAATTCACAGGAAATAAATTTATTCCCATCTACCAATGACACTTCTAACTGAAAATGATACAAAAAAGTTTAAAAATTGTCTGAAACAGTAAGTATTAGATAAAATCATAGATAAAACAAAACATATGCTCCCATATGTTTTATCTATGATAAAACTTGCCAATTAATTATTAACTAGTGTACATGTTGCTCGAATTCGAGCAATTGCAAAGTATTACAGGAGTTATTTCAAAACGAATAACAGTCATATTTACAATAAGTTTAAAAGAGTCAACTCAAAGATTACCGGTGTGTAACTCATGGAGATACGATGTATATAACAGTAATCAACATTTCCTGTAAATATTGTATCATATTATATTGCTTTTTAATGTTTTCTACAAACATTTCCTGACTTATATCCATATAAGGTTGTCCATGTTTATCTTCGTTATTGATAAACCTAAGGCGTTCCGGCCGGTTTTCTCCTTCTCAAAATGCCTCGCTGTACAGGCAACACAGGTCTTTGCTAGAGGGCCAATTGAAAATGAAAATTCGTTTTGGGATAGTGTTAGGGCGCATTTGTAATCTAATAGTTGAGGTTGCCCAGGGTCAGGTACTGACTGTGGATGAGTTCAGCCTGCGCCACTTATGGCCTTAGTAACCTTAGTATGGCCTTAGTATAACCTTAGTATGGTTGTATCTTAAATTTGTGTATTTATCGCTCCGTCTTGGGGGTTATGTTGACACAAACTCAAATTGTAAATAAATGTACTCAATGCGTTTCATTGAATTGAAAAATAAATATCAGCAATTAAATTATACAGCTGATCAAAATGTAAACAATGATGTTCTCCATAAGGATAACATGGGAACTTTCAAAGCCACTGGGGCAGAGCCCAAGGGACTTTTAAAAAAATGTAAGGCCAGTTTGCAAATCTACGCGACACGCTCTTTCCAATGAGACGTCAATGGATAAAATCGGTTAAGAAATGGCGGAGGAGTTCAACCGACAAAGTTTCATGTAGCGTATTAATTATATAGATTTAATTATTCATTTTAGCGAATTTCCCATATAGGGAATAAGCTATTACCATAGTACTCATGGTAAGACCTGGACGTGGGACCGATTTTTTGTTTGTTTTGAGGTCCCTAGAGGCAAAAACACCATCTGTTCAAATTCATATATATAATATGTGTGTGTGTGTGTGTCCGTTAGCACTATAACTCGAGCAAAAAAAAATTGGTATAAACGTGTAAACCTACATTTATTCTAACGAGTTTGCGACCAGCATGATCGGACTATGGGAACGGGGGTTTACGGGGGTTTTATGGGGTAAAAATAGGTTTTTCCCATTTTTTACCCAAAAAACACTAAATTTTGCAATTTCTTTCTAAACCATTTTGTAGAGCTTAAAAAACAAATAATTTAGTATATTGAAGCGTTATTATGCGCCTAAAGGTTACAGAGAAAATTAAAAAAAATGTAAATTTTAATTCCCATGTTATTCTTATGGAGAACAAGTAAACTGTTGTAGTTTGCTTGTTTATAAACATATTTTGATCAAATTTGGAAAATGTTTTTATTTCTTACTAACTATTAACATTTTACAAATAAACAGTCTTACCCTCCCTGATGCAGCAAACCTAGGTACTTGTTAAACTAATTATATTTAAATGGGAAATAAATGTTATATTTTTAAGTAGGTAGACATTTTAGTGTAAATCCAATCAGGCAAATGAAAATTCGCTTAGTCTGCAGGTTTGCTACCACGGGGGTATTAATATAATAAACCTTTTAATTATAAATGAATACTTTTTATTCTAAATGAACTAAAGAGTTTTGGGAGGACAAATAAACACTCTGTTTTAGTTTCATGTAAAACCCTTTATTTCGTAAGATTTGACTCTATTCCTGTACAATTAATTATTAGCGAATTTCCCTATAGGGAAGTAGCTATTACCGTAGGTCTCATGGTCTTACCATTACTTTGGACCGATTTACTTTTTCATTTTGATGTCCCCAGAGGCCAAAAAAACCATTCGTTCAAATGTATATATATATATATATATATATATATATGTGTGTGTGGGTGTGTGTGTGTGTGTGTGTGTGTGTGTGTGTGTTCATCCGCACGATAACTTGAGTAATTTTTGTCCGATTTTGATAAAATTTGGTTTGAATGTGTAAGGCGGGATAAACTTGAATGAGTTCGCGAACCAGCATGATCAGACTATGGGAACGGGGGTTTATGGGGGGTTTTATGGTGTAAAAACAGGTTTTTCCCATTTTTGACCCTTTTATTTTTTTTGACCCTTCAATTTCTTTTAAAACCATTTTGTAGAGCTTAAAAAAAACAAATCATTTAGTATATTGAAGCGTTACTATGCGCCTAATCGTTACGGAGAAAATTAAAAAAAAATTTAATTTTAAAATTCCCATGTTATTCTTATGGAGAATAAGTAAACTGTTGTAGTTTGCTTGTTTATGAACATATTTTGATCAAATTTGGAAAATACATTAATTTCTTACTAAATTAATTTCTTTACCACAGCACCTTTTAACATTTTTTATTAAAAAAACCCCTGTTTACCCTCCCTGTTGCAGCAAACCTAAGTACTCATTAAACTAATTCTGTTTAAATAGGGAATAGATGTGATATTTTAAAGGAGACATTTTAGTTTAAATCCAACCAGGCAAATGGAAATTCGCTAAGTCTGCAGGTTTGCTGCGGCGGGGGTATATATATATAGGTATTACTGTAATACGCAAGCAGTTTTCTTTTCACAGTCATAACTCGATAACGGCTTGACGGATTTTAACGTTTGAGGTGTCAAATTAAAGGTATTGTCACGTATATGTTCAAATACGTCTCAGAATATTAAGAAAGTGCATCACTTAAGTACAGTTAAGGACCATATCATGGTTAAGGACTAAAGTTTGGGAACGGCGGTGCTATCTGTTGAGATTAGATTAAACCATCAAATTCAATTCCCTTTGTTTACGACTAAACATATGGACGTAGTTTGAAATAGTGTATAAGCATAGACTAACCAACACAAGGAGTATGTTTTATCTATGGTATAAGTTTAAACACAGACTGCAAGTAAGACTTAGTACTTCCAGAGCAAAGCCGGAATTTTATATTTTTAAACATCTGTTAACAACTAAGTCGCTCATAAATAAAGAGTTTATAGCAAGACCTGACAACAAATTGTTTGTAATTAGTTAAATTTATTTACCTTACATCGAATTTTACTGAATTATCATGTAGTTTTGGTTACAGTTTGGTGTGATTAAGTGAATTTTGAAAGTGATTATTCCCAGTGCAGTTACCCGTTACATTACCATATTATCAAGTAATTTACAATGTGTATCAACATTCCATTGTAGTGTTTTCTGTTGATTGGTTAACTTTCGTATTTTATCTTAATTTAAAATTAAATGCCACCATTAAGACGAAGAACTGTGAGTGGCTGGAAGGAACGCAAATGTGACCACTTGCATCCGCTTGCATCAACCTGCCAATTTGACGGATACAGAGTGCAGTACCGTGCCGCCGCGCCGTGGTCTAAGACAAATGAACGTTACATTTTTACATTGTGGCGGCTTACGTTTTAAGCAAGAAACTGGCAAGAACTGGCCGAGACAGTTAAATTTTTACTCTTTGTTGCCATAAATGAAAGGTTCGTTTACCTCATTTGCGGAATTCACCATACTTTCAGGAACTTATTTTTTTTCCTAAGGACTCTAGGCACGAGCCTGGGATTGTTTTTCACATTACTTCAGGCTAGACCTAGGGGTTGCGGCATTATCACTTAGATAAAATCCATTGGTGACTTGGCGGGGATCGAACCCGGGACCTCAGGGGCTGAAGTCCCGTGCTCTAACCACTACGCCAGCTCGATCCCCACTTTCAGGAACTTATTGGAAACTCCCAATCTGAAAACAGGACTGTGAGGCTTGGATCCAGAAATTATCTGGATAAAATTCGTCAATTCAATCCCGCCTTTGCCATGATCAGCTATGAAGCTCATTTTGACGAGAGGGTCACACAGGGGTTCTACAATTTCAAGATCCATGACAAGTTTTACCACCGTGTAGGTAATCTAATTCCTCAAGAATATCATGATCCTGAATACGCATAGATCTAAGTACGACGTTGGCACTGGGACCCAACAGTGCATGTTAAACAATTCAAACAAAAAATGCAATGAAAAAATATGCCGGAAATAGGGTCACAATGCCAACTCATTTGCCCGATCTTTTAACACTGTGACAGAAATTTGTAGGGACGAGAGCTTCGAGGAGTCAAGTTAGATTCTTATGTGCATAGTAAGATACAAAATAAGTGACTTCCCTCGCTACAATAATGCTACCTGTATAGATGTCACAGCTATTTTAAGGCTGAAAACAGAAGCACCACTTGGCCAAATAAATCTTAGATTTTTGTTTTTTCTTTATTTTCAAAAAGTTAAACGTGAATCCGTTCTAGATGTCGTTAAATCCACTCTTATGTTCCCAACCGGAGACTTTGTTTGAGGGACCTAATTTAAACACGCCTAAAAAAGACCAATCACGTCTGAAAAGCTCACTTTACAATCTGTGGTTGCATCTACGTTCTCATAGAGGGCACCCGCCTACAGCACATCAGAGATAACCAAAGCAGTATGAGAATAGATCTATATTTAAACATTGTATTGTAAATTATTTTTATAATTTTTTACAACACAATATTTTTCACATTTCTATAATCAGTCATAGAAATTAATTTTGAGTGACTCTATGATTGAGGTTTTGCTGTTTATGTTTTTGTTCTTCATTATTTTACTACAAGTTGCAGTTTTGCTCGATTTCGAGCAACAGGTTATCTAGTTGTACTTATATGAATAAAGGATATTTTGAATTTCAATTTGATAGGGACAACTGCATTGTGCGTGATTGTACACCTAGTTTTATAGTACAACCAAAGATTACATAGTACAACCTATATGTGCCATATTCATTGGTTCCTCTTTGTAAGCCCCATATTTTGTCATATCCGCCAACGTCATGTCACTGTGGTGGAAAATGGCGTCGGACATTCAAGAGCCTAGCTATTCGTCTCCACCGAAACGTTTTAAATTAGATAATTCCGATGTTTTGTGCAGTAGATCAAGTGGTATGGATGATGTGTCCTTCAGTGCAAGTTTTAAAGTACCAGAGCAGTCACAAAATTGTAAGTATTTCTAAATATTTAGAGAAACTTGTTAGCTGTTCTCGTGTTCAAGATGGCGTAAGTCCTTATTATTGATTTTTCTAGTAGCTTCTGCTTCTAGGAGGCGGGGTCAATTTCAAAGAGGAAGTTGATTTTTTTGTAGAAGGTTTGCCAACTCAAAAACAGAACTTGACGTTTATTAACTTAACTTTTCCAAGAGCTATGAAGCATAACTCAGGTTCTACCCCTTAGATAAGGGAGTATGTTTTATCTATGATATAACCAAAGATGAAACAATAGCTTTATAACTTACTCCGGGTACAGTTTCTTAACTGGGCTATGCTAATATTGATTGAAACTATCGAATTGAAAAAATTGATTAATAGGCCTAATTGATATTTTAAAATATATCTAGGCTATTATAAAATATCTGCTAATCGAATCTATAGTTTCAATCAATATTAGCGTAGCCCAATTATAATAAGAAATAATAAGAATATAGCCTAATAAGAAACTGTACCCTAACAAAGTCTTATGTTTCTACCCAAGTTTTTCAAATAATTTAATTAAATTCATAATTAGGCCTAAGTTAGGCTGTAAAATTTTATGAAATTGGGAAAGTTCATCAACTTAACTTAAGGTGTCAATAATATTTTGCCAGGGCCATTTTAGCACCCCTAGGCCCATTAATAATTTGGCCCTTGTTTAGGCTAGTTAGTTGACCAAACGGGGATGCGGAATACTATCCCCCGGAAAACTAAGTTACCCCCCCAGGTGAAACGTGACGTCACAAAATCTTCTAACTAACCAATATGGAAGCCGTGTCCGCGACTGGAATACACCCCCCCTAGACAAATCATGCTATGTAATTTGGAAATTGTTCTTGGAAATATACTATAGAACGCTTGGTCACCCTCATCTAAATAATTACCTGTAATTTTAATTTTAATTCGACTAATTCCGTTTGATAATAGAAAATGCATGTGGTGAATATAAAACATTTTTGGTTTTCAAAATGTTACAGGAAGTTTGGTTGGTTAGGTTAGGTTAGATTAGGACTGTTTGACAACTAAATTTGAGTGTCCGTGACTGGAAAACTGCCCCCCCCCCCCCCCGGTCTCTCAATATGATGTAGGAACCTAGAAACGTAGAATAGGAATGTCTGAGCTTAAGTGGTCGGGGGATTTTATTTATTCCAAAACTATGCATGCTTGTGTGACTTCTTCAAAGAAGTAGGAACGTCAACGAAGCAGCTTACAGTGAGTTGTTGCAAAACCTCACAGCTGTTCTTTCTCACACATCCAAATCACCTATTGTCGGGACCACATAAGTTTGCAGTTGAGGGAGGAGCCTATTTACCATATGGTTTTCAACGAACCAATGAGAACGGTGTGGTGTTGCCAAATCTAACAATACCAACTGATTTGAAAATATAGCTTTGTATATTTTATTAGTGTTGTCAATGGGTGATGTGGCATCGTTGCACTAGCCTCGTCTTGTGATTTTCTGCCACCAACTGCAAACTTACATGGTCCCGACAATAGTATTCATTAGGTACTAGCAGAGTACCCGTCCTTCGTACGGGGTTCGAATAAGTATTAAATGCTTATTGCAGTTATACTCAAGCTTTGCGTTTACAATAAGGGAGGACACAGTTTGATAAAATTTGCTTTTTTAAATTTACAGTATTCTATAGTAGGCTAATTACACATCTACCATAGCCATAATGTTCTACCACTTCACCTAAACAATAGAGAAAAATAAATTATCAACAATTCGCAAAATATCACAAATTATTCATTAAATGAAAAACATAAACATAACTGTAAACAATCCTACTTTGACAGTTCTAATTGTGAATCACAGTTCTTTGTTGCTGCTTAGTTCAAATTAGCTGTTTTCGTAAATGAAAAAAAATATAGTGCTGCACCCTGTTGGTAAATCTTGTAACTTTTTAATGCTTTTCCATATCATAGAACCAACCTTTTTAGTTGAAACAGCTGACTAAATTCTTTAATTCCCTTTAAATATGAATACTCATAAGGTTAACATGGGGAATTACAGAGCCACTGGGGCGGAGCCCGAAAGGATTTTTGAGATAAGAATATGCCTATATGTTAGTCGGGAATGTAAGCTATCATCATGCCAAATTTCAGCCCAATCCGTCCAGTGGTTTTTGCGTGATTGAACTTCAAACACACAAACAAACAAACAAACAAACACACAAACTTTCACATTTATAATATTAGTAAGATTCGTAGTGTGACCTGTGCTTAAAACAGTCATTTAATTTCCAGGCCTAATCCAATCGCAATGCCATTACAAAATTGATACAGGTACCTAATAATTTATTACAATCTTAAATATTTTATATTCATTAATCTCAGAAAAAGACGTGATTGCAGTAAAATCAAAAAATTTGTGGTAGTTTTTTCATTGTCTCCCTCAGTCATAGAAACATCGTAATTATTTTTCATGACTGCAGCCAAATATTGAATAAATCCTGCATTCATGTTGTAAACTTGACCATCCTCTCTTGTGGGAAACGTCACCTTTATCGACAATGGTGCAAAAATCTTGAATATCTTCTTCGGTCTTGTAAACATCATGTTCGTCTCCCGCAGTCATGGAAAAGACGTAATTTTTTTTATGCAATTACGGCAAAATTATGAATTTCTTCTTCGGCCTCGAAGTCATCATCTTCGTCTCCCGCGGTCACGGAAACCTCATCTTTTTCTGCGATTGTGGCAAAATTAAGTTATGAATATCTTCTTCCATCTTGAAGATATCATCTTCGTCTCCTGCGGTCACGAAAACAAGTTCACCTTTTTCCGCCATTACGGTGAGCGGTGACAGTCGGACCTCGGCGCCACCTGGACTTTGGCGCCCCCCGCACTGCGGGTGTTGCGGGTGTTACATTTACGCCACTGATTAAATATAAGTTCCTGGATAATTCCAGGAATTAACCAAAACCTCCGTGAATCTGAAGCCCCGGCCATAACCTAAAAGCCGATCACAAGTTTTTCCATGACTACGGGAGACGATTATCGGGGTCTCTAAGACCACATGATATGCCTCACAGGTTTTGTGGATGGTGGCCATTTTTGGACTCTTTACAATCACAGATTCTACTGTACATGTTCTGTGTTTGTTTTGTTAAGACTCATTATTTATGAAACTTGTTTGTGACAAGAAGCAGTAGCGAGCTGCCAGTTATATTCAGTTTATTTTTTAGTTCTATGAGCAATTTCCATGTACGGTAGCCTACGTTTTAAGAGTAGGCCTACCCCTGGCCTCGATCTTAGAGAATTCTGTGGCTCTATAGACTGTTTTCGTTGTTATATTTTGTATTCTACCTCTTCTTCAGGAAAGGTTGTAGTTTTCCTTAGGTAGGCCTACCTATGTTTTTTATTTATAGCCCCAATTTGCACATAAAATTATTTGAAAAATATTTCAGGCGATGCTGGCTTTAGCTCTGAACTAAAGAGGAAGACACCACATCAAGAGGAACTAAACACTGATACAAATTTTGATCCGACGCTTAATAACCACCATCAGTCACAAGATGCTGGGTTAGTAAGCTTAAGCTTGGTTAGGGTAAAATTGAACTTTTATCTTTAAAAGGTACTGATAGCTTTGCAAAAAATGTGATGAAGTTAAAATAAATTTAAGAATGGGGTTTAAAGGACACGTTTCCAAGTAATCAGTAGTGCTGTACTACAATACTACTACTGATTATATTAAGCCCATCAATGTTAGTCTTTAGTTACTATTAAAATATTATTGTTTTTCATTGTAATACATAAACTACTGTAAAGTAAATTCATTACCTACATCATGCATAATTAAATCAACCATAGGCTATTATTAATAAAATTTGAATTATTCCTGTAGATAGCCTACTTGTTTGACAATAATTAAGATACCGATAAACTATTCTTACAAATATGACATCAAATGCAGTGGCAGCGATTGGGGTGAGTCGCTGCTTCCCCTTAACTTAAAGAGATTTTTAATTAAATTAATATTAAGTTTATGGGCTATTCATAATGTAACCCCATGTCTTTCAGGTGGTTTTCACCACTGCTAGTTATGGTCAGTGAGCAAATATCAGCTCTTGCTCTATAAATGTGCTTAGGCCTATTCTGGGTTGAAAATTTTTTTATCTGCCAACAAAAAATGTTTTTGCCTTATGAAAAGTTCATGGAAAAGCTCTTGGTATATAAGCTCACTGCAAGTAGATTTTTCTGTCAAATTTGACAAGCAAGAAACTATCAACAGGAAGGATAAGATTTTTCTTACAAGTTTTAAGTTGTTGGAGGACAAGTGCGCAAATTGAAATATGTGTATTTGTAGCATTGAAGATGACGATGACGTTTCTTCTACTGTCAGCAACTTGTCAGATCTTAGTGGACTCTCAGATATAAGTGGACAAGAATGGAAACCTATTGCTGGTGAGTCAACAAAGACTTGTAATTTTTGCCTCATGTTCATCGGTTAATAAGTATTTGTGACAATATTATTGTAATTTTAAACAGACACTACACACAAAAACAAGCATTTCATTGCTTTCAGTTGAAGTCCTTTCCCTACCATGTGTATTTCAATGCATTTACAGCATCAACAACAGACCTAGATTACTGTAAACGTTAAACTTGGAACCTAAAACATCTGTAAGAAACCACTTTTCACAACTAGATAATAGATATACCAACTCTATGACCAGTATATATTAGAATGCATTATCTCTGTCAAAAATAATATTCATAAGTATGGGTTGCAAAGATATACACACATATAATACAAGAAATAAGAGATCAAATAGACATATCCCGGCATAACCTCTCTTTTTTTTCTCAAAGAAAGCGACACAAATCGGATGTAAATTTCTTAACAAATTACCATCAAATCTGAAAACTAATATACACACAAAGGGATTTAAGAAATTAGTAAGAAAATATCTCCAAGATAAAACTTGTTATTCTATAGAAGATTTCTTTTTATTGCTCTATTAATTAGGGATGGACGGGATTGAATTTTTAGTTTGGGACGGGACGTAACGGGATTATTATTTCCTTCCTGATTTTCGGGACGGGACGAGATTTTTTCCTGTGCATAAAAAGAACATCTTGAGTATTACAGTTACCAAAAAAGACAAACAAAATAAATTTTTACCATTTGTGGCACTGATCTATAAAAAAAAAAAATGAGTAAAGATTTACATGTATAGAAACTTGTGACTCACGATCACGGTGTGATTGTCAGTATGACTCCGCGGTGACGTCACGATCGTCGGTTTGACTCCGCGGTCACGGCGTGATAGTCGGTATGACTCCGCGGTCACGGCGGGATCACCGGTATTATGACTCTGCAGTCACGGCGTGATAGTTGGTATGACTCGCGGTCACGGCGTGATAATCTGTATGACTCCGCGGTCACGACGCGATGGTCAGTATGACTCGCGGTCATGAAGTGATCATCAGTATGACTCCGTGGTCACGGCGTGATCGTCGGTATGACTCCGCGGTCACGGCGTGATGGTCAGTATGACTCGCGGTCACGGTGTGATCGTCGGTATGACCTGCGGTCACGGAGTGATCGTCGGTATGACTCCGTGGTCACGGCGGGATCACCGGTATTATTACTCCGCGGTCACGGCGTGATCGTTGGTATGATTCGTGGTCACGGCGTGATAATGGGTATGACTCCGCGGTCACGGCGCGATGCTCAGTATGACTCGCGGTCATGGAGTGATGTAAATAGAATCCCGTCCCGAGAAATTCCCGAATCAAATCTAATTCCGTCCCAAAAATCTGGAATAGCCTATTTTTTTCCTGAAAATTTCCCAAAATTTCTGGACTGTCCATCCCTACTATTAATCCATCCAATAATCAAGTTATTTGCTACCAGCACTAAAGTCAGTTGTAGGTATTTATCAGTATCTACAAAAACTAAAGAACAAAAATTATAAATTGCAAGATCTGGTGACTGGTGAGGGAATTTAATAAACTTGTCTTTAGCCCTTTTGTTATGTAATCAAACAAAAGTGTAAAAAAATATTAAAAACTAAATTCATATTAAATACACACCATTAACAAAGAATTGTATTGAAGAGATTTAGCAATGTATGTAAATGAAATCATGTAAATAAGAAACATAATGTACTTGTTAGTATTTTTGTTTCTGTGACTCTATTCATCTATGTATGTACAGCTTGAATAAAGATTACTGTATTTTATTTTATTTGATCCTTGCTCATAGTTTTTTTACAATGTACACTGATGCACATTGGGATCTGTTAAAATTACAAAAACAATTCTGAATAACAGCCACCTAAAAGTAGCAGCCGCTATTGCAAGAATAGTGGGATTGCCGTTAAAATAGAGTGTTCATTATAGGGTCTGTTAAGAGATACAGTTTAAAAATGAAGCCATTCCCAAGTAGGCTATAACTTGTCTCAACCAACCTCTGAATTCTGTTGCTTGTAACTTTATCATTGGAATTTGTGTACAACAAAGTGTCCGTCCCAATAGGGAATCCAGGGATCATAAGTGACTCTTGATGGCCGGGTATAAGTCTGTGTATTGTATGTGAGGTTTAAATAGGACCAGGACGGTTTTGAACAATTGCCTATGTAGGACATGCTGTACTTGTGTGCTAGTCTAAATAGATATTCTTTGTTGGTTTATTTTCATGTTTGTACTTTGTTATCAATTTTTCTTTAAATTTCTGATGGTTCTTTTAACACTTTTTAAGCGACGAGTAGTACTTATTAGATATATATGTTTTTATCCATTGGCTTGCTGGACACCCTGGGTTCAGTGGTAATGCTATTTATTGGATTCATAAATATCATTCATTGTAGTCCTTGTATATGTAATTTCTGGCAAAGTAAGCTTCTACCTGTTTCAGGTCCCATAAGCTGGGTACAAAAGCAGATGCTGAATGGAGTGAACCCCAGAACTCTCCTCAACCAGATGATGGGAGACCCGTCACATGTGCCAACACAGGTTGATGATCTCACATTGTGGAAGGTCAGAATCCCATCCCAGTAGGCCTACATCACTATTTAGTTTACTTTTTACTGTTCAATCCATCGGTCTGAAAAAATGTTAGGTCTCTGATTTGTTCATAATCTAATAAATAAATAATTTCCAACTAAAAATCAATTAATTGGTTTGATATAGCTCTTATAATGCAAATATCCATTGCTTTGCTTCCATACAAATTTATTCTGACAACATTGGCACACCATACAATAATTAAGACATAATATAACAGCTTTAGATAGCTGTGTCAGTTCTGATGGTGTAACAGCTATGGCGCCAAACAGACTTAAGTTAGTTAGTAGTTCTAGTATTTGAATTACATTTCCAAACAAAAAGGTAATTTGATATAAGTTTCAACAAATCTAAACTCGAATAACACTTAATGTCCAGGGAATTTTTTAAAGGTTTGTGTGTGGTTTGTTGACAGATCATTATTGGCATGTTGAGTGAGCCACCTCGCAGACAGAGACTGAGGCATATCAACTCTCTCAATGATGTCATTCATCTGCTCAACACCTGTTCTAGGATAATTGTGCTTACTGGTGCTGGGGTGAGTAAAAAATATCCATAGTTAATTGGGTGAAATTATATAAATTTATTTAACAAAAGAATGTTTTTAACAAAAGAATGTTTTTTTTTGTCAATCAAACCTTGATAACATTGGTATTCTAGAGGAGTTGATGTAATTAGATTGTATCTCTTGCAGGTGTCAGTATCGTGTGGCATTCCAGACTTTCGTAGTCGTGATGGTATTTACTCTCGTTTGGCTGTTGATTTCCCCAACCTACCAGACCCACAAGCCATGTTTGACATCAACTTCTTCAGACAAGATCCAAGGCCCTTCTTCAAATTTGCCCGAGAGATCTATCCAGGACAGTTCAAACCTTCCCCTTGTCACCGGTAAGTAATCTCAACAAATAAATTGTTACATTGTTTAATGGTTTCTGCTGCATTGTAATTTATAGATCCTAATTTTAACCATCAATGTTAGGTTTAATTGTACGGAATGTATTTATCTTTGTTGGTTACAAGTGTTTGTTTGTCGACAGATTCATCAAAATGCTGGAGCGACACAAGAAATTATTGAGAAATTATACTCAGAATATCGACACACTGGAGCAAGTTGCTGGCATAAACAACGTTGTGGAGTGTCACGGTAAGAAATCACGTTTTAATAAGTTGTTTTAGCAAATAAGCTACTAAGATCATGATTATAGACTTTTGACAAAAGTATCAAACACTCAATTTGCAGATTTCATTACCATTTTCAGAACTTAAATATCTAGATTTTGTTGGCACAATACAAATTTAAAGTCAAGTGTGCAAAGCAGGAAATTGCCCCTCTCCTCACATTAATAACATGTATTACTCACTAGCTATTAGCCAGGTGTCGAGCTGGTCAAATGGTAGAGTGTAGGTTTCTGTCCCTGCCAAACATTAATGGCTTCAGCTACTTGATAATGCTGCAAGTGGGCAAGTGTGTAAAATAGTTCCAAGCTAAGAGCATAATATACTAGAATATGTAGGCCTATTGTGCAAAATTAAAAAATACACAATAACCAATCTGTATTGAAATCTGTTGTTTATTCCACAGTGTATTTACAAACCCAGAACAAGGCCCTTACAGCACTACATTTTTTTATAACAATTTTTTGACAATTTGTAGTCTTTAGCAAAATTATCTAAAAATTAGAAAATTATCTAAAAATAAAAAAGTGCTATTTTTTGTCATTGTTCCAGGATCATTTGCCACAGCCTCCTGTACAGTATGTGGACACAAAGTGACAGCCGATTACATACGCAAAGATGTTTTTCAACAGAAAATACCTCAATGCCCCGTGTGTCCTGCCAACTCAGGTAACTCATCAAAGAGATTCAAAATATAGAGCTAACTTTAATGTTATAAAATTGATATATGGAGTTAGGGCTGCCTAGTAGACCCCTGGCACTCAAGCAATAACGCAAAGTTCCAACCTGGATATTTTTGAATCTGTTGGGGTTTTTAGTGGATAGTAATTGCCACTTTGAAGTCCCAAAATCTCCTTATGCTCAATTGTAAAAGCATTCCGCCTGTATTGCTGAAATATATGTGGTTAAACATAAATTATTTTAAAGAATATGTGCGTCACCTCAAATATACAGGGTGGCCGAAAGGATCCGGATGTTCTTTAAACGGATAGTATACACGTCAGAGTTAATGTCCCGAGGAGGGGGGGGTGGGGGGGGGTGTCTGTCATGGAGTATCAGACGGTACAATATGGTGTGTTCGCTATAATTCGTATAAATATGTGAAATTACAAGCGTATCATCAAGGCCACACTGAAAAAACAGGCCGTAATGCTAGTTAAGCATGACGTCACGATAGAAGACGGCTATGACGCAATGTTTGCCGTTTGGGATCAGCTGCTTGTTTTAATATTTTCATGGAAAACAAAAATATAACCTTAATCAGACGAGACAACAGGCCAAAAATGTCAATAAGCTAGTAATGTATATGCTTATTTTAGTTATTTGTATTTTATTTCATTTTTATTTGAGTAGTTATGCCTTCTACATGTTGTGTTCCTGGGTGTTTTAGTAATTATTCCAACCGAACATCTTTACATGTATCAACATTAAAATTTCCAAAAGACAAGAATCTTAAACAGAAGTGGTTGGACGCAATTCCCCGAACAGACTTCACTCCATCTAAGAGCTCCTCAGTGTGTATATTACATTTCGACGACAAGTTTGTTGAGCGAGAAGTTACCTTTACTCGACCCGACGGTTCCATTTGTAATGTCAAATGCGATCGGGTAAAATTGACACAAGATGCCTATCCTAGTCGTTTCCAGAATGTGACTTCTAGTTCAGCCACAGAACTACCTATTCCACGAAATGATCCACAAGCGATTGCAATCCAAAATGAGAATGAGATAATCACCAAAGAAGCGGAAGATACTATTAATAACTTCAACGAACTCAAAGCTAATTGGAATTATAAATTTAAAATTACTAACGAAAATGTGTTTACGACTTTTAATAAAGAAAGCGTACATATTTTTCAAGTGATATCAACGGAAGATGACACACCCAAAATTGAATCTTGTGTGGTAATAGATAACAAATTGAAAATAAGATCGTTCAAAAATGGGATTATTATTAATGACAACCAATCGCTAAAAAATATAGTGTGGAATGGGAATATCAACAATTGGTCCCAACTACTTAGTGTGGTTACATTTATTTTTGAATTGGCGCCTGATTTTAAAGTAAGCATTGAAAGCAACTTAAATGAGATCAATCGCTTAATTGACGACATTGCAGACAGATTTGAGGACAATAAAATCACGGACAAATTAATGTTTTGCAAACAACAACTAAAATTAGCTGTGAGCAGGAAAATATCCGACGGCTCAACGTTACTCGCGTGGTTTGCATCTATATTTTTCTCATTTCCTGGTGCTTACAAGAAAATTAGGCAATCAAATTTTTTAACGATGCCTCATCCTGTCTACCTAAAAACATTCACTTCTAAGCTTGGCATGGGGACATCTGGGATAGACAGTTCCCATTGGAAGTATCTGAGAAAAAAAGTTGATTTGTTAAGTGATGATGAACGGCTGTGTAATCTTTTATTAGACGAAGTTTATGTCAAACCGGAGTTGAGTTACCGAGGAGGTAAACTGGAAGGCCTCGCTTTAAATTCCAACCCAGATGAAAGTAATGTGACTCTTGCTACTACTGTTCAAACATTTATGATCTCCAGTATTCTTAAGAAAAGTAAGGAAATCGTAGGCTTATTTCCCTGTAAAAACTTGTCAACTCCCTATTTACATAAGACAGTGTTGGAAATTTTAAAAATGTTAACTGAAATAGGATATAAAGTATTTAGCATTATTTCAGACAATAACAGTGTAAATAGATCAATGTTTCAGTTGTTGTGTGGAGGTAGTTTGAAGACATGTTTTAAGAACCCATATGACGAACATCAAACAATATTTGTTCTCTTCGATACTGTACACATATTTAAATGTATAAGAAATAATTGGATTAACCAAACTGACTCTAATCAGACCTTTATCGTTCCTGAATTGGATGATTTATCATCAGACAATAAACTGTTTGCGTGTGTATCCCATCTAAAACTATTATACAGAGAAGAGGAAGGTAATGTTATTAAACTTGCTCCTGCGTTGAGCAAAAAGGTGTTGTTTCCTACTTCTTTAGAACGTCAGAATGTTAACCTTTGTTGTAGGCTTTTTGACGAAAAAAATATTGCTGCTCTTCAGGAAAAAAGTAGGGAAAAACAAACAGATGAATACAACGGGACAATAATGTTTTTACAGACTATTTTAAAATGGTGGAAAATAGTAAACGTTAAACACGTTTTCAAAGGGGATAGGTTTAGGGACCCAAATCAAGACGCTATTTTCAATATAAATGATGACACCATTTCATACTTAAAAGTTTTTCTCAATTGGGTGAACAAATGGAAAGACATGTCTTTTCAGGGGATTCAATATTTGTCAAAGGCAAATTCTAAGAACTACGGCAAACTAACCGATCAGACACAACTTGCTCTAAGTCATACATTACAAGCTTTGATTGATATTGTAATATACTTAAAAAATGAATTACAATATCACTATATATTATTAGGGAAATTTCAAACCGATGATTTGGAAGAACGGTTTGGACAATATAGATTAATGAGTGGAGCTTGCTATAATATAAGTGTTCAACAAATTCTTGAATCTGAAAAGAAGCTAAAAGCTATTAGCATGATAAAGGCTTATTCCTCTCTGTACAATTGTGTACCTCTTAGTGAAATGTTTAACTTTGAGATGCCAGACACGGACATTGATTACATCTCTCTAAGCAGAGTTGAAGACATTAAGCTGTTTGAAAATGTGTTAATAGAGGCTAATGAAATTAGTGTTTGTGATCAAACTTTGTTAGGATTAGCATACATTGGTGGTTATATATGTAAAACTGTTGGTAAATATGTTACATGTGAAACGTGTAGGAATAAGCTTGTTTCAAGTAACAGCATTTCATCTCATGTAATTCCCCAAGAGCGAAATCACTATTTCAATATAATAGACAGGGGAGGACTGAAGTACCCGTCAGATACTATCATTAACATATTACAGTAGAGTCCCGCAAACTCGGCGTAATGTGGACTGGAAGGGTGCTGAGTTTGTGAAATGCCAGGTTATCGGGAACTAGGGTTAAAAATAAGGACAATACAATTTTTAAGCTTTTTAACCTCCTTTTTTTGTATTACAAGTCAGTATTAAGTAATCAGATATAGTACAAAAAATCCTTTGGTACGAGTTGTGAGTGATTTGATTTGAGCTGGCTTGAGTCCATGTTTAACTCGGACTCAAAATATCACTAATTTTCTGAGCCAGGTGATGGCCGAGTTATCCAGACTGCCGGGTTATCGAGTGCCGAGTTCGCGGGACTCTACTGTAGTAAGAACATTCAAGGTGTTTTGCACTCTTATTGGAGAGAGATACGAACAAGATTTTTTAAATTGTAATTTCCACAGGGGTTTAATAATAAATGTTATGGTAAATGCACTAGACATTTTTCAAAATGAAAAATGCACTGAATGTGATACAGTTTTCGGCCTACTTATAAATAAATGTGTTTTTCATTTCAGTAATATCTTACTCAATAATTATCGTAAAAAAGTTACAGAGGAAAACTCTAAGAACACAGATAAACGATCTGTCATGAGAAGAAATGATAAAACTAAGTCAAAAAACAAAAGAAGGAAAATTGAAAAACTTAGCTCATAAGCAGTGTTCGTAAACATTTAATTAATTCTATTGTCATCAATAAATCATATATTTTAACATTTTTATGTTGTTAATTTCTTTAAATATAGCCTACTATTTTAGATGTTTATTAAAAGTATGTGTATAAACATTAGTAGATGTTTATACACAGGTAATAAATAGCATTTTTAGTTTTTAAAACAAAGGAGGTTTATTGGTAATACTGGAGACAACACTGCTTAAACATTTTTGTCGAAAAAGCGTACTGGCGTCGCTGGCGATTTTGTCAGGTTGGTAGGTACACTGGTGAGGTAAATTTATCGTTCTTTGAAACTGTTCTAGATAAACTAAGAGCTAATAAAAAAAACAATGTTATGCATTTTCAAATCAAGAATAATAAACAATTTGAACAACCAAATTTCTGCTCCGAAGACAACAAACTACATTTTACGACGTTTCCTGCTTTTGATATTTTTGTGACGGGGGGATTCATTTATTTATTTTCCAAGGAAAGGTTAAAACAAGCAGCTGATCCCAAACGGCAAACATTGTGTCATAGCCGTCTTCTATCGTGACGTCATGCTTAACTAGCATTACGGCCTGTTTTTTCAGTGTGGCCTTGGTATCATGCAGCGCAGCAATTTTTCTTAATTGACTTTTATTTTGGACGCCATATCATTTCCAGCCAAAATGCAATTAATTAACAGGTGGTTTGACAAATTTAACAAATTTGAAGACGAATTAATCCATCCAAAAAAAAGTACCTGAGGCTTGTCCAAAAAAAACTTTTAGGATGCCAAATTCCTGTGTTGATATGCTCCCACACTTTTTTTTTTAAGGCTCAGGTGAGACAGCAACGTTTTATAAACTATACTTATGTTTATTTTCAACAAGATCCATCAGGTTCACTTCACAGTACTCAATAGCCGGGGTGTGTGCTATGTTTCTAAGAAGAGTTAATTCAAGTTTTTGATATTCTGTGGCCCTAAGGTCACCAAATTTGAGCCTGTGTGCATTTTTTCTTCGGGTAATTCACAAATTTCGGGTCCGCACTCACAAACCCAGATCACTGGTGGATCTTATGGACACGATTTACCAGGGAGTAGCCCATGTAGCACAGATGGTTGGGCCAACGTTGGTAAATTGTGGAGCCACACAGTTGGCCATCGGTATAAATGTCACCTCTTTTAACTGTTTTCCAATCAACCATTGTCCACAATGGTCCAACCATCCAAAAATACTGATGGCCAACTAACCATAACACAACTGATATCCAACCAACCGTTTTATTTCACACAAAATAATAAAGAAAATAAGTATAGATTTAGTATGAAAAGCATAATTATTAGTTGAGTAAATTGATTAAATAGTTCATAAAAACAAATTTTGAAAAAAGCTAGAACAAAATTTTTTTGGCCCAGGCAGGTCTTGAACCTGACACCTTCGTCTTATGAGCTTCATACCTTACCACTGAGCTATCTGTGATTGTTGATCTAGAGAGTTTTCAAGTGGTGAAAGAGTATAGCCGACAGTTTCAATGGTCGCAATACTTAAAACATTTTTGATACTATGGTATATAATATCATTCTGTTAATCTGTTTAGGCATCAAGTAGTTGAATTGTTTTTAGCGAATTTCCCATATAGGGAATAAGCTATTACCGTAGTACTCATGGTAAGACCTGGACCCGGGACCGATTTTTTTTTTTTTCGTTTTGAGGTCCCTAGAGGCCAAAAACACCATCCGTTCAAATTCATATATATATATATATTTATATATGTGTCCGTTAGCGCGATAACTCGAGCAAAAATGATCCGATTTTGATGAAATTTGGTACAAACGTGTAAACCTACGTTTATTCGAACGAGTTCGCGAACCAGCATGATCGGACCATGGGAACGGGGGTTTTTGGGGGCTTTTATGGGGTAAAAATGGGTTTTTCCAATTTTTGACCCAAAAAACATAAAATTTTGCAATTTCTTTCCAAACTATTTTGTAGAGCTTAAAAAAACAAATAATTTAGTATATTGAGGCGTTATAATGCGCCTAATGGTTACGGAGAAAATTCCAAAAAATTGTTAATTTAAAATTCCAATGTTATTCTTATGGAGAATAAGTAAACTGTTGTGGTTTGCTTGTTTATTAACACATTTTGTCCAAATTTGGAAAATGTTTTTATTTCTTAGTAACTATTAACATTTTACATAAAAAACACTTTTACCCTCCCTGTTGCAGCAAACCTAAGTACCTATGTGTTAAACTGATTCTATTTAAATAGGGAATGAATGTGATTTAAGGAGACATTTTAGTGTAAATCCAATCAGGCAAATGGAAATTCGCTTAGTCTGCAGGTTTGCTGCGGCGGGGGTATTTTGGGAGTTAGAGAGGACTGGTATTTGAATATAGATTATTTAATTACCGTTGGATTATTTATGTTATTATAATTGACTGTTATATGATTAATTAATCTTTCCCCTTAAATTGTTGCAAATAAGTTAAAGAATATTAGTTAAATAATACATCCATTATTAATGTTATTATTATTATTATGTTGTGAAAGCTAGATCCAGAGAATGAAAGTCGTGTAAACTCAACTATGGACCATCGTTTTAACAAAAGTATCTTTTGTTGGTCCAACGGAGGGAAAAACGGTTGGAAACGGTTGGCTTGATGTATGATACCCAGCAATGCATATTAATATATTTAATTAACAATGAACCAATGTTGGTCCACAGTTGTAAAATATTGGTTGGCCTAACTACGAGATATACAGTTGGACAACGGTTGGTTGGTTGTGGAAACTCCAACCAACCATCGACCAACTGTCCCACAATTTACCAACGTTGGCCCAACCATCTGTGCTACATGGGAGTGGTGACAATTAATGGTGATCATGAAATGCTAGTGTGTAATATGGAAGAATTTAAGAAAAATTTTGAACCCTGCATAAATGAAAGCGGACACCACCTGACTTGCATTGTTTTCCATAAGTAAAGAGCATCTGACAAGTGTATCCAACTATTTTTAGTAAATAGTGTATTTCTTGGATGGCAAGAGTTTACGAACATTTTAATGTAACAAAAGTTATAATCTACACAAAAACGAATATTTAAAAACATCTGGCTTTTTTCGGTCACCCTTTTACCAAAATATCTTCAGAACTCGCATCATTAAGAGTTAAAAATCATTTTATACTAGTATTTTACATATTAGGCATATATTAGCCATGAATCACATAATATATATTAGCCTATATTAGCTAATATTAGGCTATATTAGCCTCAGTAACAATCACATAAATATGTATCTGGGAAAAGTGTAACTTGTATACCGTAGTTATCATTTGTTGTTTATGATGATTCAGATATATCTCGAGGAGTTATGAAGCCAGACATTGTGTTCTTTGGTGAAGGATTACCAGAGAGCTTCCACACTGCAATGGCTAAGGACAAAGATCTGTGTGACTTGCTCATTGTGATCGGGTCCTCGTTGAAAGTAAGGCCGGTCGCCCTCATACCAAGTGAGTACACACTTTATCATCAGCAAAACTAAGTTCATTCATAACTAGAGGACCCATGCTGCTCCGCAGCGTTAAAATAATTGTAATATCCAAGAAATAATCAAATTTATGATTTTGGATTGTGTAATACAGTATCTTGAGCTTAACTAATTCAAACGATCAATAGCTCAAATTAAAGCCTATAATTTACTGAATATTTTGAGTCTAAAACATATAAAAAACATGAAAAATACTGGAGCTATTGATTTTTAATCATAGAAAAGCCTTACCAAAATAATTTGTATGTTGGTTGTTCACCTTGCGTTTGCTTTAAATTGTCCGATTTGAATAACTAATAGCTTAAATTAAAGCTGGTATTTCTCTGAAGGTTCTTAGACCTAAATATATAGGTTTATATAGTTATAACTGGTGAAATACATCTTAAATTTAAGTAAGAATTTGAAAATGAATCAAATTATGTTTTTTGGTAGAGTAATACAGTAGGTAATGCCGATGCTTGATGTTAAATCTTTTCTTGCATGCCTTCAATTTGAGACCTCAATCATGAAAATGGCGGCAAAATCATTAAACATCGCCTGCGGCCATGTAGACGTCATCATCATCTCCCGCGGTCACGGAAACGTCATAATTGTCTTCCGTAATCTCAGAATGAACATCTTCCGCGCAGGAAGGTCATTTTCCGTGATAGCGGCAAAATAATGAATATCTTCCGCAGCCAGGTTGACATCATCACCATCTCCCGCCGTAACGATAAAGTCATCGTCATCATGCACAATCACCGCATTAGCGGTAATATTCAAATCACGCTAATTTACTCGGATCAATTCCCGATACTAATACCAACGTCCAGTATTGGGAATTGAGACATCCTTTTAGCGAATTTCCCATATAGGGATTAAGCTATTACCATAGGTCTCGTGGTAAGCTCTGGACCCGGGACCAATTGGTCCCCAGAGGCCAAAAACACCATCCGTTCAAATTCTTCTTCAATGTATATATAATGTATGTGTGTCCGTTAGCACGATAACTCGAGCAAAAATGATCCGATTTCGATGAAATTTGGTACGAACAAGTAAACCAACGTTTATTCAAACGAGTTTGCGAACCAGCATGATTGGACCTTGGGAACACGGTTTTACGGGGGGTTTAATGGTAAAAATAGGGTTTTCTAATTTTTTACCTTCAAAACAACATTTCCCAATTTCTCTCTAGACCATTTTGAAGAGCTTAAAAAAAATTAGTAAATTGAAGTGTTTTTGTATGGTTTAGAAAATAAAAAAAATTGTAATTTTAAAATTCCCATGTTATTTTTTTATGGTATTTAAGTAAACTGTTGTAGTTTGCTTGTTTATGGATATATTTTGATTTTGATGAAACTTGGCAAATCTATTTATTTTATACTCAGCTATTAATGTTTTCCTAAAAAAACACATTTTATTAGTTTCCTTGTAGCACCAAACCTAGGTACCCTACTCGTTAAACCTAATATTATTGAAAATCAAATAAGGAAAATGGGAATTCGTTTGGTCTGCAGGTTTGCTGCGGCGGGGTATTTTAAAAATAAGGAGTTTTTTTGTAGTTTAGATTATCTTTCTGCAGCATATCAAGTTAATGCCGTTAAGAGTGCAGTGTTAATTTCATCATCAAGAATACTGTGTAATGATTATTAGGTATGATGAAGTTTACTTAAAGCAATGTTTGTTTTAGGTTCTATTCCAAGCAACGTTCCACAGATCTTAATTAATCGAGAACGCCTGCCTCACCTCAACTTTGATGTAGAACTTTATGGAGATAGTGACATTATCATAGATGAGATTTGCCGTATGTAAGTATTGTTGAGAGATGAACCAACTCAGTTGTGTGAATGCTTTCATTGACTTTTGGATACTGAAGTAAGACATTCCATGTGTGTGACCCACTGTAGCCTAGTTGAATGAGTAAATCTCTGAGTGCTCGACTTAATTCTCCCTTAGTTTCTGTTACTGAGATAATAGATGTAACAGTTAGATCAGGGCCGCTTTAATGAATGAGCCTGTTTGGCCCGGTTGCAGGGGCGTAAAAGGTTAACAGGTTCAAATCAAATCAAATCAAATCATCTTTATTCAAACTGTATTTACATACATGAATAGAGTCACAGAAATAAGAACTAACAAGTACATTATGTTTCTTATTTTAACATTATTTTATTTACATACATTGCTAAATCTATGCAATACAATCCTTTATTAATGCTGTGTATTTATGAATGTAGTTAAAACATTTTTTACTCTTTTGGTTAGTTAGTCCTACATAACAAAAGGCTAAAGACAAATTTATTAAATTCGCTCACCAGTCACTAGATCTTGCAATTTGTATTTTTTTCTTCTTTATCATTGAAATCGTTTTTGTAAATATATACCTACAACCAGCTCTAGTTTGCTGGTAGCAAATAAGCTTGATTATAGGATGGATTAATAGAGCTATAAAAAGAAATCTTCTATAGAATAACAAGTTTTATCTTGGAGATATTTTCTTACTAATTTCCTAAATCCCTTTGTGTGTATATTAGTTTTCAGATTTGATGGTAATTTATTAAGAAATTTACATCCGATTTGTGTTGCTTTCTTTGAGAAAAAAGTGAGGTTATGCCGGGGTATATCTATTTGATCTCTGTTTCTTGTGTTATATACGTGTATATCTTTGCGAAACACATAATTATGAATGTTATTTTTGGCAGAGATAATGCATTCTAAAATATACTGGTCATAGACAGTTAGTATATCTAATTGTGAAAAGTAGTTTCTTACAGATGTTTTAGGTTCCAGGTTTAACATTATTCGCAAAGCCTTTTTTTGAAGTTTAAGTATTTTATCTAGGTTTTGTGCACTAGTGCCCCCATAGATTGCTAGACCATATGACAGATGTGAGTGTATATGAGCAAAATAAATACATTTTAGTGTTTATAGATTACATAAGGTTTATTGGTAGTTAAGGTTTAGCAAGAGGAACCCCCCAGAGTGAATGAGTGGAGGCGGGTACAATTATCTCTCAGGCCCATAGCGTATCTCATGCAAACTGTGGGCCTGAGTAAGATGCAATATCTTATATTATATGCTACTCTGGAACGTATAATGGAACGTGTCTCCTGACCCACTATCCATCTACCTGGGCACTGACAACCCATTGGGGTAGGAATTAATGCGCTACCTGCAGTATCCTCGGTCAGCAATTAATTTTACCGAATTTGTAGACTTACTTTAATTATTATAGAAATATAAAATCAAGTGATAAATAAATAATTCATTCGCTATTTTATTCAGGATAAAAGTGTCTGAAAATAAAAGTGCTAATTAGATGATAAAAGTGTAAAATAAAAAAAATATAAAAAGTATAAATTTAAAAACAATTTTTTTTAAAAGTAAACTTTATTTATAAATTCCAAGATTAATCCAGACACCAAACGATTATTATCACACAGTTCAATTGATTCCCCACATAGAAATATCACATTTTAACACACATTAATAACAAAGAAAACAAATTTTGTCTTACCTTACTACATCTCATTTTGGGTGATAGCTAAGGTAGTAGAGTAGGCCTACAATTTTCCTCATTGTTTGAATATAAACAAACATCTTCAATCCAATCATCACTGATTTGAAAATCAAAATTTGCTTCATCACCACTACTTTCATCGTCATTGTAACCAACGGTATTAAATTGGTGTACTGATATTGTAATGATTTTGTCTTCCTCACTGACATCTTTATCACAACCAAGTTCATCATCACTGTTCAGGAAACGATCAATTTCAGAAGTACGCAAATTAGTGAAATCAGGTTAGTCAGCTGGCGAGCAAAACAATCACAAATCTAAGGCTGACAACATAGCCAAATCTTGGATACAATCAGGTTCGCCAACATCTACAACTGAAAAAATGTGGTTGTGTCGTAAAATTAAGACCCAAGAAGATACACCAACACTATCTTTTGGATTTTTTCGGTACTAAGTGAACAGCTCAATTCAAGTACGTCCATTTTGGTTCTAAATCTGGTGACATGGATGACTAGTTCTATAAATAGTTGAAGATATTATTTTACTACTGTATTTATCAATTAATCATGGGAACTCAAGAGAGGTTGTTTAATAGCCACAAGTCATACAAGTTTTAAATTCCATGTTTATGATTGTATTGTCTGATGTATGACTATATGTTGTTTAGGCTGGGAGGAGACTGGACCGAGGTGTGTTGGATGGAAACTCCCCTGTCGGAGGCACCTCAGTTGCTCCCACCACCATCTAGGTAAACAATCACAGTTGTATACCTAACACATTTACATAAAAATAATGTAAGCAAATCAATCTAACTTTTTACATTTCCTTATATATAGTAATGGCTTCTGTCATAATTTGATTTACCTTATCATAACCTCAATCTTAAGAGAATTTCCCTAGGGAATAAGATATTACCTTAGAATATTAAAATTGTATAAGATTACCTGTTTCTGTCGGTGATCCTACAATTGTTGTATTAAGCAACCGTTTTCAAGGTTTTAACCTCATCATCAGGCTCTTTTTGTCACTCTTGCGGGATCGGCGAGTTTTATAAACACACAAAAACACTAACATTTAAATAAATAAAACACGAGACATTGACAGACGAAGACGATAAACATAAATTCGGGAACTAGTTCCACACACGACACGGCACGGGCAGATGTTTTGTCATGACTCACATAAACTAGACTCACGTATCATAGACTCACAAAATTTCTGATTTCATCGAAGATTTAGGGTTTGAAGTGTAGTCCAGCAGGAAACTTTTTACACCTTTGAAGCAATGTGGGTTTTTGGCCTTCCCAATCACTAGTGGTTTGAGTTTAACGGATCCAGTTTGGTTTGCACCAAGTACCTAGCACTGTAACTCTCTCCTTACTATTTTTGCCTCCATGGCATGAGTCTCCTTTGAACGCTAATGTTTTATCCGGTAAGCACTGATAATAAAGTCCAGTTTCGTTCGCATTGAATATGTCGTCTGGTTTGTAGCCCTTTGTTAGATCGGGTATTTTTTCCGTCCATGCCATACACAAATGATCGTCCACACTAGCACTCTCGTTATTCTTTTAAAAACAATCTCAGTTTTTAAAAATGGTAAAAAAGTGTTGGCCGGTATACCAAACTGTATAGAGATTTCAAATCTTTTCTTGTCACCTTTTTCTACTGCTTCGATAACTTTTAACTTATCCTTGTAGGTAGGGTCTTGCACAAACGTTTTGCCATATTGGCTAAAAATACTCACTAGCACTAAACACTCTAAAACAAAGGAGACAATGTATCTAAACTACTCGAGTACACGCACTTTCAGAACTCGCCCATGACTGAGTGAGATAGATTGCATCAGGAGCGGAAGTTGGATTTCCTGTCGAAACACGAAATACGGCGCAGTAAAGTACAGTATCGATGTTTTTAACCATAACGAATTCCATACAACTTTGATTAATAGAGCATTTCTTGCTAATACTTCGACTTGTAGAGGTGCGGCAGTTGCACGATTTTGAATCATAGAGGTTTTTGGACTAAAACTTTGATTTATAGAGGTACTTTTACGACAAAAAATACCATAAAACTTTGAATTATAAAGGTGTTTCTCGTGAAATATTTGAATTGTAGAGGTAAAATTAACATTTGCAATAGATAGAGAAGTTCAAGGGGAATTTTAAAAATTTGATTTATCAAGGACTTTGAATCACTGAGGTTTGATTTATTAAGGTTCCACTGTATAACAACTTTTGTATATAAATTGTATACTTCTGATTATATTTTTATGTTTAAAATGTTCAGCATAAATTTGTTGATCTTCCCCAATTTCCGTATTTCCCCCTGTAATTCTGGTACAAAAATTTGCATTTTTTTATATTTTTTTACATTTTGCAAAAAAACTACCAACAGGGATTCCTGATATTTTGTTTTATTAAAAATCTCCAAGGTTTCTTTTCTGGACAAAACAAGTATGAATATGGTTATCAATAGTACTTTGGGCACTGCAAACTGTTAAAAAAAAACCTCTGCAAAATGGCCAAAATTGCCAGGGCACCGAGCAATTTGCATTTAACAGGCCAGGGCAGTCCTAGGGTTAATGAGAATAATAGTTTTCATCCTTATCAACTATATATAAAATATATCACGGATTTTAAAGTCACAAAGAGTCGCTCACTGCTGGTTATAGGTACAGTAGACTCTCGCTCATCCGGACTAATGTGGTGGACGTCCGGTCTGGATTACGAAAAATCCGGACTATCGAGAGTCGAGCAAATACACAGTACTGTATATAGCAATTTTTTTCAATTTAGTTCCAGGTCCACAGTAATGATAGCCGGTCATATGCACTTCCACCGGTAATAATCTTTACGGGTGAATTTTGTTCCAGGTCCACAGTAATGATAGCCCGGGGGATATGCACTTCCACCGGTAATAATCTTTACAGCCAAATTTTGTTCCAGGTCCACAGTAATGATAGCCCGGGGGATATTCACTTCCATCAGTAATAATCTTTTCGGCCGAATTTTGTTCCAGGTCCACAGTAATGATAGCCCGGGCATATGCACTTCCACCGGTAATAATTTTGTTTCGGCCGAATTTTGTTCCAGGTCCACAGTAATGATAGCCCGGGCATATGCACTTCCACCGGTAATAATTGTTTCGGCCGAATTTTGTTCCAGGTCCACAGTAATGATAGCCCGGGCATATGCACTTTCACCGGTAATAATTTTTACCGCCGTGTTATCCGATTTTTTTTCTTATTCAAGGTAGTCCCTGTCCCGTTTCGCTTGGATAATCGGACTTCTACTGTACTGTGCCGCTAAAAAAATCACGATTGCTGATCCGGACTACCGGGAGTCCGGACAAGGCCGATCCGGATGAGCGAGAGTCTATTGTACTTAAATAATTGTTCTAACATCAAAGATACTATATTTGAAAGGAAACCCAAGTGGCTAGAGGGATAGAGTTTAGGTAGCTTACCCTTTCAATGTGTTACTGTTGTAGGTGTGGCTACTATTGTGAAGGTGAGGAGGCAGAGATGTCAGTAGACAGACATGAGACCATGGACCATGAAATGGACCTGCCAGATACTGCGGACTTGTGCAGGTCGGAGGGACAAGCCAAGTCAGAGGGAGAGGTGATGGCAGTGGAGGGGGAGGTAGACACAGATGAGGGGGTGGGGGAGGGAGAGCGCTGCCTGGTGACTAGACGTCATCTAAGTATGGACTCTACACGAGACAGTGGGATAGGAGACGGTAGCAACAGCAGTCACTCGGCTGAGCGACACATGAGTGTAGAGAGTGATGGAAACATCTCACTGGCTCAGCGGCTGCCTGGTAAGTAGCATTAGACAGTGTGAAATCAATTGTAAAGCCTCGGTCACACTGGGCTGTTTAGCAGCCAACTAACCAGCCGCTTGTAAATATCGCCAGCAGCCAGCGGATCTGCAGGGTTCACATTATAACCACTAGCCACCAGTAAATAGCCGCTAGTTTTAAGCTACGTCACCTGCTCCATCACCACTCTTTTGGGACTTCTTTACGTTGTAATCTTTCTATATAAATCTTGTAGACTTTTTTCTCTTTCATAAGACCAAAGCTGATTTTATTCTTCGTTATTCAAGTCTTTGCCTTTATGATTAATTATAAGCTGCGTCTTTGGTATTCCTGTCAATGTAATTGCCAGACGAAGCATTCCCTCAGGCAAGGATAGTTTTGAAATAAATCCACTGTTTTATGACGTTCCTGTTCTTCGTGTAAGATAAGCTAGCTTCTATCCCTTCATTCTATAAATCAAAATCCCGGCCTAGAGCCTTTCCTTTAATAAAAGTAAACTAAGTTTATTCTTAGTTAATTATATGTTGACTTAACATTTTCTCATCTCAACATAAAATTTGTTGTGTTTTAGATTACAAAATGAATAAGTACTTTGGTTCTATGTTTTTCAGCATGATCCAAACTTAAGGAGATTGTGTGAAAATTTTGTTATAGAAATAGTTAAGTTACAGCTCTTATGTTCCACACAATTCTGGCATTACTATTGTTAAAACATTCTGGTGGGAATAACTTTAATAACTATCTTTATGTAATTTTATCCTTTTTTTCAGAAAACTCGTTCTTTTATCTGCAGCCAAACCGTTACATCTTCCCCGGGGCGGAGGTGGTGGATGAGTCGGATGAGGATGATGATCGCTCTAGTGTCGGTGACCTGAGTGATGTGGAGTCAGACACATGGGCTACTCATTCCTAGACAACCACAACCACTCACTGTTGTTACTCACACTGTATCAGCCTTTGACGCTCTGAAGCATCACCACTAACACTGCACTGTAGCATAAACACAAACCTTTAAAAAATACAATATAGATGGGAACTTAACATTTGTTTACCAGAATAGTGTTTGTTTTTATTTAGCTAGGAATAGTCATTATACCAAACCAAGTCTACTGTTGTATTTGTAGCAGATTTTCTGATAGGGTGTTTCAAAATCTAAACAAAGTTTTAAGGTACAAGTTGACAGTGACTTGCAAGTTTTGGAGTAGTCAACTGCTGATACAGTATATTGTTGTGCTATGTAGTAAATACAGCTCTGTTAAATCTTGTAATCATACACATATTTTAATATAATTTACTAAGAACTAGTAGTTTTTTTTTAAATATAAGTTTAAATTGTTTGGACTTTGACATTTTTCTTCAAAGTTTCAAGTTTGAAATTGTGAACTTTTGTTTAAAGTTTGTCTTAACATTTCCCCCTTTTTCCCTAGCTGATATTGGAGTTATGTGCTGTTGTTAAATGGGAGTACTTAGATGATTTAAGTTTATTTATTGTTAATATTGAGTTGAATATTTCTAGATCTTTCTTCTTTAATTTTATATGTTTATATTATTGGCTGTACATTGGGATAAAATGTACAATAGTAACTTGATTTTATTATGTTTCTATGTGCAAATTTTGACGGAGTATATCAAGTTTTCCATAACTTGATGGTACAAACATTGAGATGTTTAAATTATTTTTTTTGTTAGTTGATGTGTTGTTCCACCAAAGAATATAAGATTGTTTAAGTATTTTTGCTTAGTGGTAAGAGAAATTGTAAGATTATATTTTATATCATGTGCTTCTTTTTATGTGTGACTACTATGGCAAAAGCTGATTAGCCTAATTTTTGACAAATCTTGTCAGTTAATTTTGTTGTTGGTTGGATCTATAGTGGATTATAGATTAGATACTTGTCTTTATTTTTAAAATTTTAATTCCAGCCTTTTTGGTAAATCGTTAAGCTTTAGGCTTAATCAGCAACTGTCTCTTTCCCCCACTGTCAAACATACACATCCTTACAATTAGTAATACACTGTTGCAAACTTGAGTAGTCTTCGTGCTACAGCTTGTACTACATAATGTGTAACCTTTGATGGTTTTCCTTCTTTACTACTTTAAGAAACTGCTTGACCTATTGTAAATATCTGCTTCCCTATTATTTGTACTGGCATATTTTTCACTAAGGACAGTCATTCCTTGCAATAGTACATTGAAATGGTGCCACCTCTCATTCTAGACTGGCCATGCAATATTATGATAGTCACATTTTTGTCTGTTGTTGCTATCCGATATAATATATTGTAAACTTGAGAATTTTGTGATAAATGATATTTTTCTAAATAAAAGTTGTTTTATTGTTTGATGTGTTTAAAATTATCCGCAACTATTCCCTTTTATTGGCAGGATTAAAACTAGTATATTCTGGTCACAGTGATATAGCCAAGTGACAGAAAGGAATACGCCAAAACACTGGCAGGAGGTCCTCCAACTTGAAAGAGAAAAAAAAACCCATCATAGAGGCATCTCACTAATATCAAAGATAGTTTAAATTGTATTGAAAATTATTGTGTATAGAGTATATGTTAGGCTAAAGACAGGCCCACAACTAATTAAAATATTTAAACATACAAGTATCATCTAAATAGGTACTGGAAGTAAGAATGATTTGCCGTACTTGTCATCAGTGGCATAACAGAAGGGCCCACAATGTGGGGGGAGGGGGGGGCGGGAGCCGAGAGGGCCCGCAAACCGGGAAACGGCGAGCGGAAACCGGCAAGAACAGAGGCCTGTGAGACGAGTGGAGCCAAAATATTGGAGTTTATTCTTATTGCAATTTATTATTAACCATTTAATATTTGTATTAAACAAGTATTAATGTTATTAATATGTTGTCATCGTTTAATTTTGTTACGCATAAGTTATTCAGTGATAATGAACCAAGATAACAAATTTAACATTTAAGGTCAACAAAATTTAAAAACACTTTTGATTAACTAGCCTGGGATGAATGTCTATCGGATCCTGAACTTTATTTTAAAACAGCTGTGTATCTTGGAACTTTAGATACTGTAGGCTTATTAAATCAAATCACTTAAATACTTGAGGGGATGAACAATGTAAGTAGTATTAGTATGTTTAGTTGTTTTCTGTTCTCAATCTCACACCGAAGTTTTTATCGTCGTCTACAGATGAACAGATCAACAGAACTAGCAGCTGCTGAATATAACGAGGATTTCACTTCAGATTTTCCTCACAGAGCTAATAATAACTATTGATAAAAACTAACCGAATAAATAATTTACTAGTGTACATGTTGCTCGAAGTCGAGAAATTGCAAAGTAATACAGAAGTTATTTTAAAACGATTAACAGTCATTATTTACAATGAGTTTAAAAGAGTCAACTCAAAGATTATCGTTGTGTAACTCATGGAGATACTCACGGTATTTAACAGTTAATCAACATTTCCTGTAAATGTTTTATCATATTTCATAACCTGGTATTGCTTTTTAATGTTTTCTACTAACATTTCCTGACTTATAGCCACATAAGGTTGTCCATGTTTATCTTTGTTATTGATAAACCTATGCATGGTACCACCTTTGTCGCCAGCAGTAAGTTTACAAATTTTAGTCATTCTTTATAAAATCTTTTTCATCACCTTAAGGACTTCCTGTTGTCTGACACAATTTTATTTGTTCAATTAGCATATTTTTGTTTAGTTGCAATAATGTTAATTATAATTACCTGAGAAAATGCAGAGTTAAAGACCTGGGGCCCATTTCATAATAAACTACAAGTTACAAGTTACAACTTGTAACTTGTAATTTCCATTAGATTTGCATTGGGCGATCAGCTGATTTACTAATAATATTGGTTTGTACTTTATTATGAAATGGGCCCCTGATGTTGTTCAGTTGGTTTTTGTTTCCCTAAAGCTATATATGAATCTATATCTATCTATCTATATATTAATAGGCAAGCATGTTTCTTTAAAACCTTTTTTCTCAGCTCGTGTGCATCGTAGGGAAAATCTACGCATACCGTTAGAAAGCTATTTTCCTGTAGGTGTGCAGAATCCCTTTATAAATTTAAATAGGCTCAAAGATAAGCACAAAAAATGAGTTTAAAGATTTGAACAAATTAACATGGATCTTATGCGTTGCCATGCTGGTGACGAAATAACAACGAAATATAAACAGGAAATCAAAACAAATGGAAGAAACTCCAATCACATGTTTTATTTACAGTGTGGGGTGAAAATAGAGAAGTGAGTACATTACATATTTTTGGTCGAGTTTCGACCACTGGACGACCTCTCGTACTTATTTAATACGCAAGCAGGTTTTTTGTGACAATTACTCCTCCGAAACTACTGAAACGATTGACATGTTTTTGGTGTCATTGGAAAGAACGTAACGTGAAGTTGTGCAGGAAACTTTCTTTTTAGGGAAATGATTAGAGAGTGAGGCCCTGGCACCCTTTAAAGTTTCATATTTCTCCATAAGGATAACATGGGAAACAAATATTGTTATGAAACTCCAGCTGTTGTCAGAAATTAGAAGTGAGAAGAAGAACATATGTTAATTGTAAACAGTCAATAAGTTTGCTAATTTAACAGTTAGTTTGCCACAAACGTTGAAATGAAATAGTTACTATTTGAATTTGGCTATTTGGGTTGACGTAATTATTACAATGGGAAAAATCGAGAGAGCCTGGATAAATTGATATACTAAAAAGAAAACTGAATTAACACTGTGCTGCATTTCTTAGTAATCATTGAAAGAGACGATCTGCTAACTATGGAAACATAGGAAAGTCATAGAACACCACCAAGGGGAAGAAATAGAAATAATGTGTGTTATAAACACTAAAAACAAAATCAGCTTTTGAAAAATGATAAGATATTTACAAGAAATGTTGATTATATCGATCTGTTATGTACATCTTGAGTGTTCCATAATCTTTGAGTCGAATCTTTTATAGTCATAAAAAATATGACTGTTATTCGTTTTAAAATAACGCCTGTAATACTTAGCAATTGCTCGATTTCGAGCAACAGGGACACTAGTAATAATTAAATGCCTTAAATAAAAATGTTAGTAAGGGTTTCTTGGATATTTTCATAGGCTATTATTCTAAAATCACTTGACTTTTATGGAAACATAGATTAATGGCATTGACGTACCAGATTTATTTGGCCTTAGAGGTCTCTCCTCTGCAATGATCGTAAAGATAAGTCCATGTTTCCTACTAAAAATTGTAGCACTTCGGCTAACATCCTCGTTCATCGTTTGTTCCTCGTTGAATCTGAATCTTGTAGGAGTTCTTCATGATATAGGCTAATAACGATAATACTATCTCTATTTCTTCAACTCGGTGGCGTTCTATGACTTTTTATGTTTCCATAATTTACAAATGGGTTCTTTCAATGATTCAATTTTTAAAGATTTAATTTTTGTAGGAAACATTTCCTTGAATTGCAGCTTAAATATTAACAGCAATTAAATATACAGCTAACAGATAGCTATAATGTAAACAAATATCAAATATGTTCTTCATAAGGATAACATGGGAAATTTAAAAGCCACTGGGGCAGAGCCTGAGGGACTTTTTCAAAAATGTAAGGTCAGTTTGCAAATCTACGCGACACGCTCTTTCCAATGAGACGTCAATGGTTAAATTCGGTTAAGAAATGGTGGAGGAGTTCAACCAACAAATTTTGTGTTGGCGTATTAATTATATAGATACAATGTGTTATAAATTAAATATCATTCCTCCTTTATGTAAAACATTCTGATACGGATAAAAAATGAGGTATTTTTATTTATTTTAAAACTATTTATTTAAGCCTATCAACAACCACTGGTATTGTTATAATGATGTAACTTTATCATCAAACCATAACTGAAATACTCAACACTTTTCCTTTTATGAATCATTACCCATAATTTATTTACTACTCAATTTATGATAAAACAACTGTTTGATCATTGTATCGGTGGTCCAAAAA